TCTCTTCTCAAAGTTTCCAGTTTCTAGCTAGTGTCCAAGCTTCCTCTTGCTTCAGCCAGAGTTCAGCTTGAGGGGGAATGTTAGACAATAATATTAATAGTACTTCTTGTAGTATTGGTTATGGTAGTGTTTCATTATTAGCCAGCTTCCTAATCCTATTTGTGGTAGATGTTGTATGTTAGTTAGTTTCTATTCTCTATTCCTAGTTGTGTTAGGAGTCTCTCCTATATATACACTATCATGTACTCCATAATTCAAGGAGCAATATTATTATTCCAATATTTCAACAAACTCCACCGACAAACCCTTTGCTTTCAAGTAACCCTTGGTGTCTTAATTATTGTTGTGTTTCTTAATTTATTATTAACCAAGGCTTTTTTTATTGCGTATTATTGTACTCCGTAGTTAACCAGATGCTCTTCATTCAGCATCTCTACTACTTCCTATGTATATATTGCGTGTGTTTCTTTTTAATTAAGCATGATTATATATTGAGGTGAATGTTCTTTAACCTTGCATTAAATAATAAATATGATATTGTATAAAGTTATTTAATCTGAGCAAACAAAAACGTGAAACGTTAATATAAAATGATGACGACAAAACAAATGAAATTAGGGTTCGAAAATTTAAAAGAACACGAGTCTTTTTGTATGTTCTCTTTTTTTTCTTACATCAAATTTTATAAGTTCACAATATTGCTGATTTTTTTAAAATAATTAAATTGAAGGATATCAACAAGATAAGGAGGATGGTAGGGGTGCATTTATGATGTTACACAAATAAGGTCCAAACATTATTCCTCAATTTTGAATTTATTTTTTTTGTTTAAAACAATGATGAGTCCATTCTGGAGGGCCCTTCCCCTTCAAAATCGAACATACGCTCACTTGATGTAGTACGGAGTATTAACTTGACTGATCCTACAAACTTCACAAACTTGCTATTTATGTATTTAAATATTTATTTTTAAATGATTTAAAACCATTTTATTCACTTTGGAAAGTGCACAAATAGCAAGTTTGTGTAATTTGTGTCTAAGATATTTGTGAATCTAGCATTACTCTAAAATACTTCTAGTGTTTATTAAAAAATTAATTTTATCTTAATTTTTTTATTTCACCTATCGCATCATTTTTTTTCTACTTATGATATACCCATCACGTTAAGGTAAAATTGAAAAATTAATTACAAATATACACTCCTTAGTTTATTATTCTAATTTTTTTTTACAAATGAGTACTTCGAATTGAATTTTGGGATATAGAAACAAGCCATAATTTATTAATTTTTGGTCCATTTCAAGAACTGTTCCAAAAAGCGTGATGATCGATAACCTTAGAGTCTTGATTTCATATCTTTGTATTAATTTTTCAAAGATTTTTTTGATGTGGTGAGTAAAAATATAATATAATAGACAAACTCTTAGTAAATATATATGCTTAGGTAAAAGTTAGTAGGGATAAAGTGGGTTTGAATCTACTACATCTGTCTCGAAAAACCCTCTTCCTTTCTTTTTTCATTCGTTCCAAAAAAAATTCTCTTTTCACTTAAAAAATATTTCTACCCATACTAATTCTTAAACTATCTATCATGTCACAACTATTTACTATGTCCCTGAGTATTTGTCCAGTTTTGATTTTTTCGGTCAACTGTATCAATATCCAATATCAATTTTATCCAATATCAATATCCGATATCAAATACTCTGTATCAATTTTATTTAATTTGAGGTCAAAGTTTATGAATTTTAATCGAAAAAGGTCAAAAGTATACAAATAATCATGAGCGGATAGAGTATTAATTCACTTATCAAATTCTCTTTTTATTCATCAGATCCGGCCAAGGATATTACTAGAAACTCAACACTAAAATATACTATGTACTAAAAATCTCCCAAGTTTTCAAGGATAGAGGAAGTAATAGACAAAAGATAAGATTGTGCCGATATATTTATTTACTCTAATTTTTTCAATTCAAATAATACAATAATTAAATTCTAAATATAAGCACATGTTCATTTACAATAGAACATCAAGTATTCTTCATGACCCTATTCTTTGGACACATCGGGTTGTCAAGATAACACGGGCAAACTAGTGCAGTATCAATACAATTAGTTTTCATTATTTTATCACAAAGCTCAAAACAACTTCCCACTAGTTCAACAGGATCATCGGTGCTACCAAATCTCGCAGCATTAACTTCGTAACACAAATTATAACACTTACAAAAGGACTTTGGATCGCATTCACTTGTTACACCACCCAATAATATTAACTTGAAAACCAACACTACTTTCACCAATAATGTAGGCATGCTCTTGTACATATCACATTTCCTATTCTCAACAAAAAAACAACAAATATAATGACAATTAAATTACAACTACATTATGTTAGTAAAAAAATTATTGTACTGTATGTAATAAATTTATATAATAATAATAGAAATTATTATAATTATGATCAATAATATTTATTTTCAATTATTATTATTTCCAACATATTGAAATTATTAAGAAAAAAAGATGATAAAGAAAGATAGAAATAACATGCAAGTGACTTAGGAACCTCCTAACACTTTACTGATGAATGACCTGTTTGAGTATAACGTTAGAAATTGGCGTTAGCGTTTAGAAAATGCTATCTACGAGCAGCGCCGTTAGCATTTTCAAGGAAATATGTACTGTTAACATTTTATCCAAAACGCTAACGATAATATCTAATGATATTATATTCCCAAACAAACAAGATAACATGCATTGATCAAATTAAGGTATTTTAATAACACAGGTTTATGAACCAAACGAAAACTCTCCATTGTTCAATGTATTGCAGGTCAATTTACTCTTAAATCTTAATTGGTAGAGTCTCTTTGGTATACGATATCGATGAAATTGGAATTGAACTCAGAGTTGAAATTCTATATAACAGTTTTGGATGGAATTGAATTCTTCAATTCCAATTCATTTTTGACTCTACAAATTTCAAATCCACATATTTTTGCACTACTATACCAAATAGCAGAATTGAAATTGTTGTCCTCAATTTTAATTTTATAGTTTAAATTCCGGGTATCATACAAAATGTTAAAATATTCAATTAAAACAGATAAACACTTTTGAAAAAAAAAAACTAGACCTTATTAGACAAAAGTAAATAATAAGAGCAAAAACAACAACCTTAGTTTGTAACCACCCATGTTTGAAGAAACAATTGGTCTTTTTTTCGTGCTTCGGACTTTCTTCATTGGAATATTATTGCAATATATGTACCCTTGGAAAACTCTATTTATAACGTTCGATATAATTTCTGCTGTTTTGCCTGCTCTTATACAACTTGCGGAGTAAAATACTCCTCCGTATTAAATCTACAGTTTTAAAGATTTTCAAAAAAAAAAACGTAATTAAGGATGTAGAATTCCTTGAACAAGAATAAACATAATAAAAATATTAAAATAGAAATCTTAAGTATTTTAAAATGAAAAAGTAAGTTCCAGGGCCGGCCCAGAAATGTTAAAAAAATGAGATAGGCTTTATGCCAATATCAAGTATTGGGCTCATTTTATTTTTTGTAGAGTACTTGTGTTCTAAAATGAATGCTACATTAGATTTTTAATTACTAGTTTTAATAAATTTGAATAATAAATCATAAATTTATATTAAATTTTAAAAAATCAAGTAGTTAAAATAATACTCCCTCCGTCCCCCTGTATTTGTCCACTTTCATTTTTACACACCATCCAATGCACTTTTTCAATCCATTTTATCTTGTAATTTGTATATTAAAAAATTATAAAAATTATATATTAATAATCTATATGTTAAGACAAATCAAACAAGATCACACATGACTATATTTAGCCTTACACATTGAGAGAATTTGATGAGTCAAAGTGTTTAGATGAACAGTTCCAAAAATCAAATGTGGACGAATATAGCGGGACGGAGGTAGTAAATAACTAACAATATTGGACCTTAAAAATTTGGAGGGCCTATGCAGGTAGCCAACTCGCACACCCTTCTAGTCGTCCATGACAAGTTCACTCTCCTATTGTTACATAAGAAATCACCATAAATACAAGTAAAATATATTGCAAATGACTTTTAAATCCTATTTTAGGAATTAAAATATAGAACCTATTTGATATATTTTTCAATGTTTTATTTCATCTTTAGTCTTTTTTCTTGTTACACTGCTTACTCATTACATTGTCACCCTGCAACTGTCATACTATCACTGTCACTGTCATTCGTCACCGTCGGTGATCGCTAACGATTGACTATTACAATGTCATATAACACTGTCATAACTCTTTCATCACACTGTTAATGCGTACTTTTACACCACACTATTAATGTATTTTTATTTTAGTCTTAAAAGACTTAAAAATTATGTTTTGATATTTTGACACTTTTTTACTCTTGTTTGGGGATATTTTTTTATAAATAATACTCCCTTCGTCCTAAAACGTTTTTCTCAGTTTGACTTTTCCCCATTTTTAATTTTTGGCTTTGACTTCAAATTTTACCCACCTTAAAAAAGATTTTTTGAATTGTTAGAAGATAATTGGTGTAAATACATGAGGATATTAATGTCATTTGTCATCTTTTTTTTCTAATGGGAAGGTAGTTTTAGGACGGAGAAAAAGGGAAAGTGGAAAGAACGTGTTTGATTCGCCTAATTCTCAAGAATATATGGAATTCAGTAATAGATATACCTAATAATGTTTATTTTAAATTAATAGAATAACATTCATTTAAAATGGTAGTGTTCATTCCAGCATACTCCCTCCGTCCCTAAATAGATTACAATCTTTTTTTCTCTCTCCTCTCGATAATTTTTGTTTGTTTACGCGATTTCATCAAGTATTTGATAAAATATAAGATTCTTGTCACCTCTTGTTTTGTAGAAATTTTGACGTAGTTTTTTAATACTCGGTATGTAATTTTAATACCTTATTGATATACCAATTTATAAATAAAATAATTTCAAAAAGTAGAAAATTTTACTCCGTAACCCGTAATTTGTAATCAAATTAAGGAGGGAAGGAGTAGTTTTTACTGTGAAATGAGCCCGTTAGACCGAAAACGAGTTTAAAAGACTGAAATGGCCAAGGCAACAATATTGAAACCCCAGATCATCTGGAACCATCTAGATCCCCATCCATGGCTGCGGCGGCGGCCGACCATCATCGCCTACGCGAGAAATACGGTAACTAGCAGAACAATTGTTCCTCATCGTCGTCCTTCCTTAATACCTCTCCGCCTTTGCCTTCCTCTCCTTCTCAGATTTCGCGAACTTCCTCTGTCATCTCCCATGTCCACCGACGCCGCCGCCTCCGCCTCTCCTCCCTCCTCCGATATCACAACTGTGAGTTCTTCTTTCCTCCTCAAAGTGTATGGATTTGATCCGATGCAGAACATTTAGTGATACCTCTTAAGGCCTCGTTTGGGTTGATTTAGTGGTTGAAATTGAATTACTAGGAATTACATTACCTAGAATTGAAAAAATTGGAAACAAACTCGAGTTTTGATTCGCCTAATTCTCAAGAATATATGGAATCCAGTAAAAATTAAGGCAAATTAGAACATACCCTAAATTCTACGCCTAACATTCTTCTCAATAAAACCTTTAGTATCACAAAGATTTACACTTACTTACACTTTGATGCCTTACACTGATACAAAATGAAATGTCTGAGCGAAGTTTTACAATCGTGTTGGACATTAAAATGTAAGTTTTAATCTTTGAGGTACAAGTTGGGGTACCATCTTTGTGATATACGTAGCGTGGAGTGTTAGGGGGGCCTCGAGATTTTGACACCAAATGTACACCAAGGCAAATGCAGACACACAACATTAAATGTCTGGTTGTATTGACCTTGGTGTGCATTTGGGGTCAAATGTTTGGGGTTCCCCTAGCATTTTTTATATCTAGCATGATTGGTATTGTGAATACAAAGTATGTTCACATGATATTGCAAATAGCTTGCACAAATAAGTTCCTATGGTACACTGACCCCAACCTTGGCTTCAATTATGTCTGTGTTTTTTCTTTCTTTCTTTACTTGAATGATGTGTTATATTTGATGTGGGAAAGTGTGTGTTTTTTTTAGTACAGATTAGAGCTGTGATAAAGGGGAGGGTGCAGGGTGTGTTCTACAGAGACTGGACAGTGGAGAATGCAAAGGAGTTGGGGCTGAAAGGGTGGGTCAGGAACCGGAGGGATGGAATGGTCGAAGCCCTGTTTTCAGGGAGCCGCGAGAAGGTTCTGGAAATGAAAGAGCGGTGCAGGCGGGGACCACCGGACGCGGCGGTCACCGGGATCGACGTTCTCTCCCCCCGCAGTGATGATCCCGCCGGGGTTGGTGAGTTTGAGCGCCGGCCAACCGTTTGATGACTGGATGGTTTTTTTTTTTTATGCAGGCAATTTTGATCATACCAGTGTAACGCAATCCAACAAATCATAATAATGTTTGGATGAATTCCTCAATCCTGCTGAGAGCAAGATTGATTTGTTTTGTACTGGGTAGATATGAATTATATCTGCAGCATGTATTGTTTCTTAATAATCTGCATTTATCTGAATTATATAGATCATAACTAAGTACTACTCTTTAATAGATTATCTCTCTTTACTGTGTGTGTAATCAAGTACTCGGGTATTCACCACTCCTTCCATCGCACAAATTTTCTACTTTATATTTTTATGTGTTCTATTTGGTAGGAAGGATAGTATTTTCTTAAAAGTATCAATATTGAAAAAGATGTTTGGAGACAATTCAATATTGCAAAAAATGTTTGACGGTGATTGGATATAGGGTTCATGATTTGGTGGCAAGTGAAGAAGGACGATGGTTGGGGATGCCGGGTTTGGTTGGCGGGGGTGGGGTGGGGTGGGGTGGGGTGAGGAGTGGGGATGGCGGTGTAGGGGTGGATGAAAGTAGTACTGTATGTGGGGCCAAGGTAGGGGCAGGGGTGGGTTGGGAGGGAAACGGTATGGGATGGATGGGGGTGGGGGATAGGGGCACGCGTCAGGGATGGGGCGGAGAAAAAAAATCTTACCCTCTCTGCTCAATTTTAAATTGTTTGTTTGCCTCTTTTCTCCGTCCCAAAATAAGTTGCATGCGTCGTTGTTTTCGTAAACTTTTAAAAATAAAATACTTAAATTACCCTTAAAATAAGTTAATCACACTTCTTCACCTTATCTTCTCATTCATCATCACCTCTTCTAAAAAGTAATGACAATTTTGAAAAATTAACTCACTTTTTATTTTTTTTAAATATGCCCAAAAGTCAAAACGGACGATTTAAATTGGGACGGAGGGAGTAGAATTCTAACAAATACTAGTATTATTTTCCTCCTATTTCGTTTGAAAATTGAATCAAATTTCTTTTTGAGAAATATTTCTATCCAACCAAACACACTCCTAGTCCAAAATATTTCTTGATAGCTTTGCGATATTTTTCTTTAACTCCGTAAAGTTAAAGTGGGCAAATTAATTCAGGGTGGAAAGAAAATTAATATCCATGTTCTATTTTACGGAATATTAGGTTTAAAAAGTCCCAATCTACAGAACACTTTGTGTATATATGATGATACTTAACAACTTTTAATATCACAAATGTTGGTTCATAGCCAATATGAACATCATTCATCTTTGAGAACACATTTTTGCGCACCTCGGGTGTCACCATGTACACATTAAATATCAGATTTAAACACACGAAAAAATTTATATGATAATGTTGTGTTAGTGAGACTATTCTGCCTGAATCCACCAAAATACACGAAAAAATTTATATGATAATGTGTTTTATTCATAAAATATAGAGTAAAAGTATGAAACGAGGTTGAAATGGTCATCTTCAATCATTCCCACATACTGTAATTAGTTTTGAAATGCCAAAATGTACTGAATAACCATCACAGCAGTAAAAGAAAATGCCTTCAATCCTAACTTCATAGTACTAACAGAGACAGATAACTTATGGAAAATAGATAGGCCAGTTGAAGTAGTACGACTCTCTGAATTCTTTGGACTTTTGATTCCACTGCCAAGAAACAAAAAAAAAGATCATTAATACTTCAGAGGCTTAAACGCTTTGACAAAAACAAGAAACACTTTCAAGCTTGGGCAAAAACAATCACTATGCAAAACAGCTTCTTGACCTTTTCTATGCATGCATGAAGATTTCTTAGTTTTTATGTAATATATATACTCCCTCCATCTCACAATGATTTACCCATTTTGACTTCAAGGGATTTTCGACATTCTTTTTTGTGCTTAGACTCCCTAAGTGTCTCTCAAAAAGATATATGGTGGAAATTATTTTGCAAATATGGATGGTATAGAAAAAGGGGTGGAATAAGCAATGAAAAAGTTGTTGATGGTATATTGGGAGTTAAGTGTAAAGTTTTTGCAAAAGATGAAAGTAAATTTTTTTTTTTGGGAGATCTAAAAAAATGAAAGTGGACTAATGAGTTTAAACTTTGAACCAAATTATTTGTTTTACCACATAATTTCATCCTTCAAAAACCCCCTGCATTTCACTTCCTAGTTTCTTCTCCTACTCTTTTCCTGGATCCAAACAGAGTGTAAAACATACAATATAGTACCTTAAACTCATATGGCTGGTTCTTCTTTAGTGCTTCTTTCCAGTGATGATGCTCAAAAAGCATTGCACGATCATGCCAACTACATAAAATGCCAAACACAAACAATTAAAATCCAAAAGAGACGAGATACTTTTGGATGTAAGGTTTCCAATCAGAGTTCAAGAACATAAGTTCTTGTTCGAATATAATTGAAATACTAATCACATGCATGTTGCATCCCAAACTATGATGAATGGAAAGTTAGGAGCAATCATGGAAGAGGGTATCAGTCTTTAAGATATGTTTCCTTCCCGAAATGATTCTCGGGGCTCTTTTTAAGTCCAACAGAGATGTTTTGGGAATGTCACTGTTAATAAAGGAACAATTCTGAGATAGGTTTTTAACAAAGAAATACATTTCTTTATGGACTTTCGGGACAATTTCCTAACCTGAAAAAAAATTTAAATCATTCATTCATTCTATTAGGATAAATGTATTTTTCAAAACCAAGCTATGAATAAAAGCTTGAGTATAATGTTTAAGGTAATACACACTCTGCCCTATAATTATTACCATATTGAGAAGTCACATATTTTATACTCCGTACTAAAAATATCCATTTTAGCTCAAAGTGGAGCTACATTGAGGAAATTATCCTTAATATTCACCACTCAAAATTATTCCAGAACATTGTGGAAAAGATATTAAGGAGATGAAATGGAGGAATTTTAAATACAACCTAGATATCAAACCATGATGCAAGATGCAAAATAGTTTAGTTCATGAAAAAAATTCTACATAAATAATATAATGGAAGTCACAAGAGATGAACATTTAAGAAAATGTTAAGCCAAACAAATAAAAAGTCATGATGTGTCATGTGGACTCCTGTAATATATCCCTTAGATCCTGGTTACCTTGACATTGGTTCTCAATGTCATGCGATGACATCGGGAACCTACGGTGCTCCGATGGCCCCAGAAGTGGTCACCCAATGCCTCATTCCCCAATATGCCTTGTGGGGAGGAGGCATTAGGGGGCTAAGGGGTAGGAACCACTTTCGGAGCCATCAGAGCACCTTAGATGTCATCACATGACATGAGTTCCCAATGTCAAGGGAACCGTAGCGTATCCCTTAATACCCTGCCACTGAGTGCCACCAATGTGAATGCGCTAAGATTAATGCTATCCATTCTTGAAAAATGTGATTTGCAACCCAACACTTTCAATTTCAAGACTACTCGAGACTCAAATTGTTATAGACTTATAGACACAGTGGACACTTATGTAAACCTCTAAAGCGTAAGATCCGTACAAACCACCCATTCAAAGCAAATACTTGGACTTATTAACCCAACCACTATCCATCGGTCCATCCATACTCCCTACTTCCCACACTTAGATTAATGTAGTAGCATTTGGCCTTAGGACATTATTACAACAACAACAACAAACACAAAGATAAATTTCAAATGAAGAGTGCAATTCTTCAACCTTTAATGTGTATCAAAATCCATTAGCTACTCACAATAAACAAGCAAAAACCACACTAGCTACCCACCAATCGCCATCACGAAGTGGACTTCACAAAATGCATCAAGAAAGTGAAGTTCCTTCGAAGAACGAAAATTTGGGCAAGCAAGCGGAAATGGAAAAAAAACAGATAATATTTCCAGAATTGATAGTTTCAAAGCTGCAAATGATAGAAGACAATGAACCATTTTCCGGAATGAAGATTATTGATCTAAGTTTCTAAGCAGAGCTAGGGTTTATGAGCGTACTTGTACTCATTGGTGAGCTGCCACATGTAAGGATTGAACCAGGCGATAGCAGAGAATCCAGCGCCGCCGATCCATTTGCTCCAGAAGATAGACGGGTCGGAGTGCGGGACTCCCGGGTCGCCCCGGTAAGGGTTTCCGAAATACTTCTCCATTTCAGCCCCCTTTGATGAATGATGATGATGATGATGATGATGGCGTGCTTTGTGTGGCTGTTTTCCTTCTCCCCCCCTGTGCCAGAGGCCACAATAATGATGGAAATTGCAATTTTACCTTGCTTTTCCAATTAATTATTTGGGAAATACTAAAAAAATTTAGTTTTTCTTATTTTGGTTTGCCTAATTGTTTTTCTTATTTTCGTTTTTTATTCATTCTAAAAAATTTACTTTTTTGAAAAAAAAACACATGCAGAGTACAAAACATTTTTTCTCTTTCAAACAAATTTTAATCATCATTTTCTACATTTTTTAGACAGATAAAATATAAAAAAAATAGCAATTCAAAATGAAAATTAGAAAATTTAAAAAGGATATTAGAGTTCATATGATCCCGAAAGAAGAGTGTTAAATCTTAAGTCTCAAAATTGATTCTGGACAATGACAATTTGAGAGTTTTAGTTAATTTAATATTCTGGGGTAGCTCCTTATGTGCACCTGACTTGGTACAAAAAAATTTATTGAAAAATTAGACTCAAATTTATATCATGTTTTATCCTTTCATTATTTTGGGTCTGTTTGGAAATAACATTAGAGATTAGTGTTAGCATTTTGGATAAAAATTGAGCAGTGAAGATTGTTTTAAAAACTCTAACGTTAAACGCTGTCCGTAGATAACCTTTTCAAAATGTCAATCACTAATCGCTAACGAAATTCCCAAACAGGGCCGTAGATTACTTTGAAAACGCTAACGCTAAACGTTGTATGTAGTTAACCTATTCAAAATGCTAACGCTAATCTTTAACGCTATTTTCCAAGCATGGCCTCTATCCGGATGTGATGCCTGGTAGGTATTCTAAGTTTAAATTTTAAAAAGGGCCTCCTAGTAATTACGATTAAAAACAGGGGTAGAACATAATTAGCCCAAACATCAGCTTACTTCCTCCATCCTATATAATCTCCTCCTCCACCGCTGGTTCCCCTCTTTTCTCTTCGGATCCATTTTTCAGAGGTCATTTCATCTGCCAGATCGGTATTTCTAGCTTATCAGTATTTCTAGGGTTTATAGTTCTATACATAAACCCTGGCCTAACCAAATCTTCAACTTCTAGGGTCTATTCTTTCTTATCCAGTCCGCGTATGCAATTTCAAACACGGATTTTAGTTCGGATTCGAATTCATACGCGGTAAGTGTTTGATTGAACTGACGTAATGGGTATATTCTGAGCTGCTGATGCGAGTAACTGTTGATATCTGTCGTCGCGTTGCTATTTTTTCGGGGGGTGTTCTGGATTCATCGTTGAATCTAGGGTTTGCTGAACTGCAGTAGAGATTTTGTTGAAAGCTGAGATTTTTGAGTTGATTGATCGGATTTTGAGTGGTGAATCGTAAATGATTCAGGAATTTGAATATGAGTGATGGAGGTAGAGTGGAGAGTAGAGGAGAACAAGAGCAAGAGCATGCACGGATTAATCGGGCGGGTTCGAGGGATTTCGGGAGTGCCATTTCGAGAGTTGTGGTGGCTCAGATATGTGAGAGTGTTGGGTTTGAGGGCTCCACTGAATCGGCTATCGATTCATTCTCAGAAATTGCAGTAAGGTACATTTCTGACCTGGGAAAGATTGCCACATTCTATGCCAATTTATCCGGGAGATCCGAGTGTAGCATATTCGATATAGTCAGTGGATTGGAGGATTTGGGTTCACAATCAGGGTTCATGGAGGCAAACAGTTGCAGGTTTAATTCTGGTGTTATGAAGGAGATTGTTGAGTATGTTGATCGTTCAGAGGATATTCCTTTTGCCCAGCCCATCTCACGCTTTCCAGTGATCAATGTGCCAAAGATGATTCCTAGTTTTGAGCGAATGGGTGAAAAACCAGAGTCTAACCATATCCCACCTTGGTTGCCTGCATTTCCTGACCCTCACACATATATACATACTGCTACATGGAACGAGAGGGAATCCAATCCACGAGATGATAAAATTGAGCTAGTCAGGCAGCGCAGGAAGGCAGAGATGTCTCTCTTGAATTTGCAGCAGCGGCTGTTATGCTATGGATTGCCAGCTGCTTCAAGTTCACAGAAACCAAGGGTATGTTTGGGTCCTGAAAATGATAGGGAAAGGGAAAATAGATTTAAAATGACAATCGAATACTTCCTATAATTGGTTCTGAAAAGAACGCAAAAGTGCTTGTTTTGTAACAACTTCAGCGTTTTGAAAAGGCTAATTCATATACTGAAGCTATAGCATTTTGAGTTTTGATATGTGCCATTAACAAATCATCCAAGAAGTTGTTTGCAAACAATGCCTAAAATTAGTATCAACGAATATATATATCATATTATTGAGTTCTAACAGTTCAACCTACTCTTTGAATTCACCATATTTTCTTTATTTCGAATTTCCTTCTAATATTTCTTTTCTTCTTTCTTTCCCTAGCAGTCTACAGGTGAAAATGATGAGAGTGAAAACCCATTCCTTGCGAAGACATTACAAGCTGAGGAGAAAGATGTGTCTTCTATTGCCCTTCCTGCCAAATTCTCCACCATCGGCCGTGGCTCTTTACTGGAGACGTTTTCTCCAGCAATTGAAGCAATGAAAGATGGGATTTCAGAGAGTGAAATTGGAAGTGATAGAAAGAATGGTACAGACAAAAGACGACCTGCTGTTTGTTTGGAGTTCAAACCTGGTAAGAAGGTTTTAGGCGATTCGTTGGACTTGAGGCTTTGGAACAAGGGCTCTGCGAGAGCAGGAGCATCATGGTTCAGGAGAGATGATGATAATAACATCAAAGACGATAAGAAGAGGAGAGCAGAGTTGATTCTTAGACAAGCCATGGAAAACCAGCAGGAGCTGACACAGTTGTAAATTAGTTCCATGAAATTGTTTGTGATACAAGTGTAGGTTAGCTGATTATAATCAAGATTAAAGTGTTGTAACTATGCTGTGCATTTCAGGAGAGTTCATGTAGAAGAGGCCAACTCATATTTCCAGGCATTTTTCCGAGGTTAGTTCATTGTTTTCTTTAGGATATGGTTTTTAACTCAAGAAAGAAAAGATCCCAAAAAAAAATTGTGTGAATAAAATCTAGTCCTGATGAGATTCTTGTTGGTACTTGGTAGAGGCTGTGTTTTTTTTCAGAGTTGAATTGAAGGATAATGTACACTTTGTTTTGACATTTTCCTTATGGGATATTTGTTTACAAGAGAAGATTCTAAGAGTGTCAAAGAAGCAATTGCTTTGCACATCTCTTTTGGGTGTTATTTCATTATTTGGGTGTTTACACCTTGTTTATGCTATGGTATGTAGACTTATAACCCAATGTTGTAGGCCATTTTCTCTTCACTTGATCGGATTTGTTTTAATATTTTTAAAATAAATTCTGATCGGATGTAATCTGATTTGATTGTAAATATATTTAAAATTGTTTCTAATTCGATCTGATCTGATTTCTAAAAGAATAAGTATTCAAATTCGCTTGGTTTGACTCACTTAGGGCTGAGCTTGGCCCATTTATTTGAGGGAATGAGTTGAGTTCATTGAGCTGAGGCCGACTTGACAACTCAGCTCAAACTTGCTATGTGTTAATGCAATAGATCTTTTGGCTTCACTGTATATTGGTTGCAAGTTTGATTAAATTGTACTCCCTCCGTCCCAATTTAAATCGTCTGTTTTGACTTTTGGGCATATTTAAGGAAAATAAAAAATAGAGTTGATTTTCCAAAATTGACATTATTTTTTAGGAGGGGTGATGATGAATGAGAAGATAACGTGAAGAAGTGTGACTTATTTTAGAGGTAGTTTAGGTATTTTATTTTTAAAAGTTTACGAAAATAACTAACATGCAACTTATTTTGGGACGGAAAAAAAAGGCAAACAGACAATTTAAAATGGGACAGAGGGAGTACAATTTTTCATAACACTCATCATTCAACAAAAAGACGAGCAACTTAACATACTCCGTAATAGCTAAGATGCACGCACAAGTTATATGGTATATACACCAAAAAATATATGGTATATTATATAATTTTAAAATCTGAAAAAAAATAATATGAATTTTAAATCTATATACTCCTGTTTCGAAAAACAATCTCACCCAAAGTTATTGCGAATCCAACAAAACGCTTCAACTCTCATATAAAAACCTCATGAATGTTTCTCATAACTCTTTTACAGCAAATAAAAGTTATTTTAAAAACATTTTAGACATTTTAGGTGAAGTAATTGAGGCATGTCAGAGTTGGATGGGAAGAGATTGGAATGTTACCATCTGTCATATTCTAAGGGGTCAGAATAAAGTCGCAGACTTACTTGCCAGAATGGGAAAAAACAGAGCGTTGATTTGGAGAGAGTTAGAGTTCCCACCGAATGGTGCACGTCAATTGCTAGAGGACGATAAGCTGGGGTACTATACAGCGAGGAACCTTTCTTGAGGTTCTGAGGTTGTTACCTCTCCAGTTCGATTAAAAAAAATGTATATCTCATGTGCTTCCAAACAAAATAGATGAGAATATTCAGCTTGCCTAGCCCCATCAAGAAAACGGAGCACGGACCCCAAAAACAAACATAACAAACATCCATCCCAAGACAAGAATATACTCCATAGTCCTATATAGGGTTCCATACTGATAAATTGACATAGGAAAAAGAATACCATCTCATGTCATAGTCTATCTACTTTAACATGTTACATGTGGTAGTTTCACAACATTGTATCATCAAATCAATTGTTTTACATAATAAGAAAAAAGGGTCCTCAAAACTTGATCGGTTTCTTGGTGTCACTTCAACTTGAAATCAAGTTCCAATGGCAACGCTTGGCCGCGGTGATTGAAAATCATAAAGTCAAGATTTTCAGGTAGAGCCACCACCCTACATGTTAGAGAGAGTGTCAATTAAATCATAGTTACAGCTTACTCAAAAGGGACATTTCATCAAAAGTAGGGGAGACCGCTAGCTTAAAAAAGCTTGAACAAAATCTCACAATAAGATGCATAGACACTTGTGCTTTATGACTTAAACTATGTTTTAACAGCCAAACATTACAAGAAAATCAATGAGTTGGGTACACGAATCAATAGGTAATTCTATGTACCATTGCCAAAGTGTTGATTTTGCACAATTTACTTCAATGAGTAAGTAATCACACACAGGTTTCATGCTAGAGGTAACTATGCTTTTAAAAGAAGTATCAAAGGAATCCCAAAAAGTAAATAATCATATAAAATGTTAAGTAACACTGTGAAGGGGTGAGGACTTCAAACTAGTACTGCATGAGTCATACTATATATCCATTTTCCCAACAAATGTTCACTCCATTTCTTTTTCCTCGCTAACATTGCAAATATTAGCTCAACAAAGAGAGTCACATTATCTATTTTTTCTTCCAAGGCTCTAACAACAAGATCAAGACTCCAACGACAGAAAATATAAGAGTTATAAAATCTTCCGATTCGAATTTGTTGCCATATCAATGTTGGTGTGAGTGTTTTCTTTATGAAACTCATTTTTTTAAATTCCAGCCTCTATTTGAACCGAATAGAAAAAAACTCAAAGGAATATTTAACATCAACAACAAAACACACAATAAAATCCCACAATGTCGAATTTGGGGGTATGTGAATGTATACCTTATCTGTACCTGGATAGTAGAGAGACTACTTCCAAGATACTCCGGCTCAAAACACAAGAAAATAATGAAAAATGAAAGTAGCACGAACTAAAAGAGCACAAACAAAAGAAACACACATATAGTGATATAGAAACTCAAAAAGGCACCACACATGCAGAAGCTAAGCTAGTGACTAAGGCATAAAAGCACTCCTGCATGAACTACGAACTAAATCCCTAAGGTCTACCCAACCACCCTAATCTTAGATGACGTTCTTATCGAAGGTCATACCTCCAATAAGATCTTGAAGGAGTAAGTCTTGTCAAATTACCTCTTTCCAATTTTTCTCAAGTCTTTCTCTACGACTTCTCACTCTTCTAGTGCAAGCCTCTCAAATCTCATTGGCCATACATCCATCTTTTCATAACGTGCCTAGACCATATCTATCTAATTTCTCGCCCCTTATCCTCCACAGATGCCACTACCACTCTTCCCTGAATAACCTCACTCATTGCAGATCTAATCCATCATTGCAAGACCACACATCCAATTTGACATCCTCGCCGCTGCCACTCGAAGCTATCCAACATTAGTTTTCTTCACTGCTCAGCACTCCGCCCCGTACAACATAGCATAAATACATGTTTGTTTGCACACAAACAGTTCATCCAATTCTTCTTATTTCAAAAAGAAAACATGTGATATGATTCACCTAAGAAAATATTAAACTTACATATATAGTGCATCAAATACTAATACAATGTTGAATGTTTTATCGAAGAAGGTATGGAAAATTTTTTGGAAAAACTTCCAATGATGAGTTGAAAGTTATTACTGAGTAACTTGTAAGTAATTACATGGAGGAAAGTCTGACACATAATATTTGTTTCATTTAACTGGAGGTACAACCCATAATACTGCACTCTAATTTTTTTTTTGAGTTAATCTGAAGAATTTTACTACCACTTCATCTTTAGAGTATAAAATTGAATGCTCCCATAAAAAACCAAAACAAAAAATGGCAGAACATGAATAAATGGAAGGAATAAAGGGACGATGCAGATAGACTAGAACATCTTTTTTTAACTACGGAGTTTATGCATTAGAACATATTAACACTAATACAAGGCCACACCCAAGCAGTAACAACTCAATAATTTACACTAAAATGTACTCATATTAGCCCATAAATGAACACTTGCTTCAATGGTCATAAAATCAAAGAAGAAGTCACTATAGAATTTACCACATTGAAAACCAAATCAAACCAAACAAACCCAGTATATCCCATTTAGGAGCAAATAGAGTCAAGAACTCAAGATGTATGCAAACATTACTTCTATCCCAAAGAGTAAAAGGAGTGATAAACACATACACATGCACAAACGCTGATTCACACACAAATGTACTGATCCCTAGAAAGGTGTTACAACCCTATAATGACATCTAAATTCTAAAGGTATTCCTATCAAGGTCATGTACTAAACAAGATTTACGACCACCAAGTCCAACCTCAATCTACCTAGTGTATGCAAACCTTACCCGATTTGGAATTAAGGAGGTTTAACCTCAATCTACCACCAAACAAATTCAACACTTCAATCCTACACAGTATACAGAGGATACCAATAAACAATACCATGGAAAATAGTCCTACCTGTTCTCATCGGATTGAGGATGTATGGATAAAAAATTCCCGGGCACAATAAGGGCAGCCCACAGACACAGTACTAACCCTAATATCAACTCCATCACCACCTGCAAGTCCAAATAAAGATCCAGTAACACATTTCTTAACTATAAACTGAATACATTCAGAGTTCCATATGATTTACTCATAGGGGAAAAAAGGAGATCGCGAAATTTACGTTGAAGGGAGGAACAGAGAACTCTTCCTCCGTGATCTTGAGCAAAGCCTTATCTGCAATAGAAATTCGAAACAGAATGAATTATAAATATCGAAATCTAATTCGTTTCTTCTGGCAATAAATAAAACCCTAGTGTGAGTTTCATTGAGGTTTGAAAGAATTAGGGTTACATTGGATGGTAGAGTAGGCAGCGTGGGAGAGGAACAAGACACCAAAAGTTCCGACTACGAATCCGATGTTCATCCCCATTATAGCCGCCGGGAAATGGATCGTCCGCTGGCGAACAGTTCGACGGAGGAGATGATAGATATCTTCTTCACACTATATGGATCTGTCTACCAGTGCCATTGCAGCCGAAATGCCTCGGGTCGGGTTTTTCATGCCCGTGTGATTCTAATTGTTTTGGGCCTTCTTTGGCCTAAAAAATTAAGAAAGTGTTTGGTGAACAATAAAAATATTACTCCTAGTTTTAATATATTTTTATGTTTGGAAAAAGAACAAGCATATTTTTATTACTCCGTAGATATCTCCAAATATTGCCTGCTTGGTGAATTTTGAAGGTATGATAAAATATGAGTTTTGAAATCTGAGAAAAATTATAAGTTCTAAAATCTGAAACGAAATTGTTTTAATCCCGTGTACTCATGTTTCCTCGTATTTTTTTGTGTTTAATAATGATACATAAAACATGATTAAATTCATGTTCGGCACACTATTTTTTGGCCAGCTTTTATTGAGATTTTTTTAGTATAAATAATTAGTCAGCTAATGACGTATTTCTCCAACTTATAAGCTGACCAAAATTATTTATAAATTTTTTTACTTATAAGTCACTTGATAATGTATTTCTCTGTTTTTAAAAGCTGCTTATACGTTAAAAAAAGTCCTACCTAATTATTTTTAAGTCGGTTATTCAATTTCTCCGTTTAGACCAAATTAACGACAATACTATCCCCTACCTTTTATGAATATCCTCCAATGACTTATTATCGTTTAAGTCCTTTTATTTTCATGAAAGAATATTTTACTTATAAAACAGTTTATAAGTTAAAAGCAAGTAATAACTGAACACACACCAATAACGAGAAACACTCAAAAAGTTAGGTCTTAAAAAGCTTATTTTTCAAGCTTATTAAAGAAAAACTCTATCTCATTTATGAGTGGATATTTGGATCTTGTCACTATATCTTGCTACATAGTGTGCCTGTACTTTTAAGTTTCTTTTTTTCTCCGTCCCGATTTAATCTTCTCATTCATTCAAACAATATGACTTCCACTTCATTCCAAGGTTGTCCCAGCTTCTGATTACGGCGCCATGCTATCACCCGAAGCCAAATCCCCATTGCCCTCTGGAATGCCGCCGCCGCCTGATTCAGAGATCTTTGTAATCATCTGCAAGTCTTCAGAAACACCAGACACGCCCCCCTGTGACTGGTCATCGACCGTTGGGTCTTTTTGTAACAGAGACTTCTTAGGTTGTCGGATCGCTGCTGCTGCTTCAGCCATGGAGACAGGAGGTGGCTGGGGAGGGACCCACGAACGAGGAGGAGGGGCACTGTTGTTGGTTGGAATACCAGAAGAACCAAAGTCTGGTTCATATTCGGGTTCGATCTCGGTAATCTTGGCAGGTGTCTGTGGCCGCCATGGGATTCTTGAACCACCACCTCCATTGGAAGAGCTCGAGAGATTGTCACCCCCTTTCTGAGATTGAATCAACCCGCTTGAACCGTTCCAGATTTGAGTTTGACCGACTTCCCATGGCTGTTGTTGGAAGAAAACAAAAGCATGTAGCATTAAGGTTCTGAACTAGGGGCATATATAATAAAAGATTATGGCTCAACTTGTTCACACTGATATAGCATTAAGGTTCTGAACGTTTGTGGTAATAGTTTATCCGTTAGGGCTTAGAAATATTAAGTCATTTCCACACAGTTAAAACTGTTTGGAACTTGGAAAAGAGCCACGGGAAAGAAAATAGAGCTGAAAACATTGTTTAAGGTTCCCAATTTAAGGTTCATGTTATCCCAGTTTAAGGTTCATGTTTTCCTTTAAAGAAAGAAGTGTATTGTTCATATTATTTCTCACTTCTAAATTAATCTCAATTCTCAACCACACAATTTCACTTTTCTTAATTGTGCCAAGCCCAACACCTTGTTGTAGGACAAAGGGATTATTTCTATTACATACACAAACATCTAGGTATATACAAATTTTAAAAGTTCTAATCAAATTCGAGTTGCCCCAAAATAAACTCATCATTCCTTGATAAAATGAATAAGTAGTCTATATTGATTCTCCCTCCTCTCCATAAATCTCAACCAAACAATTTTACTTTTCTTAAACTACATGAAGAAGCAAATGGGAAATTAATTTGGAACGGAGGGGAGTGATATGCATAGAAAACCTTATTTTGTAGGAAAACATTTTCAACATCAACAATTCTATCCTGAAATAAAACAGAGCAAATAGGTAAATTTTAGGGCAAGATTATAAACCTTAGGCTTTGTTGTTGTTGGTTCTGGCAAGGGCTGATGAGGATTTGGCGGTTGGTCGTTTATATCCTGAAACATCATACGAAGAATAATAGATGCTTATCCAAGAAACACCAAATACATGCGTAGTATTACATACAATAGTTATCCAAGAAAAAACTTTCATCAAAGCATGTCTCAACTTACCCTCATGTTGGAAGGTCTCTCCCCTCTCTTAACAGATTCCAATAACTGTTCCAAAGAATTAAAACTAAACTCATTCTCAAAATACTCCAGTCATTAAATAACTCATATTCAGGTCACACTGTGGCAACAGATATTTGAAGAAATCCAGTTTCAACATTATCAACACATTCTACTCCCTCTGTTCTGAGCATTTTTACACAGTTTTAGGGAATTTTTATAATTTTATAATATCAAGATAAAGTAATTATAATATGGCTAAAATACATGTTCTGAATTCATTGGTGATAGATTGAGAACCAATGGTGGAAAATGAGCAATTAATGTTCTCTTAATATTTGGATGTGACACTTGTCCAAGCTCAATTTTTCCAAGGTGGAATTTCTCAAGAGCAAATCTAATAGATGCCCAGTGTAAGCAATATTAAGGAATTCTAGTCGTACCACACTATGTTTATAAGATAACTCTTGGATTATGGTTGCAAATGATTATCCAATACCCGAGTACCTGAATTCTCTTAATAATAATAATAATAGCATATCATGCAACCAACTAGCCTGTAACCCTGTATGACATATTTTTTTAATATGATCTACCCTTAGTTCTCTAGAAAAAATCACTGAGTTATCAATTTCGAGTTTTCCAGCTTGGATATTCCCTTTTCCCTGATGGTATGTTTGGGATCTTGGATTTGGATTTCAAATCCAGATTTGGCACAAATGCCATGTTTGGAAACCTAAAAAAATTTGGATTTAGATTTGAAGCAAATTCCTATAGTTCATAAGAAAGCTCAATTCGAAATCCATATGCCTCCTCTTGTCCTTTGAAATGTAAGAATTCAAAATTTGGAATTAAAATGCAATAATTGAAATGAAACGTTAGTTCCCAAACACTACCTAAGACTACTTGAAACACTGAAAATGGTAGATTAAAAATGCTGAGGAAGATAGTTTTTTATTTTTGGTTTTACGTGGGAAAACATGAAGGATAATAAAACAATATTAGAACTTCAATAAATTGTGTACGCATTTCTTTCTGAAAAAGGAAATAAGGAGGGTGTGAAGTTTGTTTTGGGATATATGGAAAAGGAAAGCGTGAAGTGTATTTTAGAATGGATGGAGTATAATATTACAGAGTAATACATCAAAAATAAATGTGTCTGAAAAAAATCCTAAATAAATTTATTGAATTTGAATTAATTTCTCCTTTAAAATCTCTTACCTTCCAAATCTCCCACCTAGCCGTTATCCTCCCAATATTCTTTCCCTAGCATTCCCTGAGTTCCAAATGAACCCTAAACTTCTCCTCAAGGAATCTAAATTCCAAATTGTTTTAGCTAATAATGACAGTTGCACAGGGATAATCAAATAATGGTGACTCCATTTTTACTAGTGACATTGTTGGCATACCTCCATGTAAGGAGAAGGATATTGAGGTCCAGATGGTCCCATATATGTGGGTGGTGACAAAGGTCTTGCTGTGTTGTTCAAAATAGAACCTGAGCGTGCATCAGTATCCAATTTGCCATTTCCATAGAATTGCTGGAAAATCAATTGAATTGAAGCTTTAAAATTGACTATAATGTACATTGAGAAACAAGTTTCACGAACATGAATTTTGTCATGATGTGTAGTGAGAATATGATGCTAATTAGCTCACCTGAGAATTAGATTGTGAAACTTTGCGACGATCCTGGTCCGAAAAAGGGGGGTTTCCAGAAGAAACGTATGTTTGAGAAATATTACTTGGTCCTGAAAGTTGAAACATACGGTAAGGGTCAGTTTGGTACTAGTGCTGTACAGAAATTTATTGTGTTTGGTAATTCTTTTAACTAAATAACTGCAGAATAATATTTTCTCAAAAATTTGGTGATGTGGTTAGAAAGCATATTGACTTATGTGGGCATGTGGCTTTGAAGAGGTTTTATAACTGTGCCTTCTGCACTACGTTATATTCCATTTAAAAGACATGAATGGGTTCATATGAAAACATGGTGTCAATTATTTTTCCCATAGGTACTGGTCTTATCTTTTGACAAACCATCAATAGGTACTAGAAATAGAAATTAATATTTAAATAAATCGCTGTATTATAGAGTATTCATTAAACTTATGAAAGATATTATTAATTAATGTTTGTTACCTTCCAACTTCTGTATTGCACTGGTCAATAATTTCATCTCCCGCACCTGATGACTCAACAGATCGGTAAGTTCCATGAAGTACTTCTTCTCTGGTTGAGAAAATTATGCAATATATTTTATTGTTAGTTTATATGCTACCTAGATAACATTGAAAATGAACTAAAGCATAAAGTGATTTGCCAGTCCCTCAGTTATGCACTTTTAGCAATTTTAGTCCCTGTTGCAGATGGGGCTAACAAGGAGAAGGGCCAAAAGCTCCACCCAAGGGTGCCAGTGCATAACCAACCCAAGGAGGCATTGCTTCTTTTTTTGTAAAAAAATAGCATAGCCGAGGAACTAAAAAACAATTTTGCCAAAAAAAATAAGAAAAGAAAATACTGTTCTGGGAAAGGACCTTCTGATTTTGAGGCCACCATTTCTTGGCTTGCACGAGCTACATCAGCAGCCGCAGCTGCCGCTGCTTTTGCTGCAATAGCAGTTTCTTCAGCCAAACTCGGTTTTAATCTCTGCCCCTTCACAGCACCCTCTTCTGTTTCTTCTTCTTCCAATACAGCCTTGCGAATCCAAGACTTCAACCGAGGAATTATAGATTTCTGGAAGGAAAAAGAAAACATTGCCTAAGAATTTATTTTTTTTTACTTAACACATCAGTATAAAAAGGAGAAAAGATATCTTTCATTCTTCTTCTATTATCGGTCTTGTTTCCATTTTTACTTTGGCTATGCTTGGAATGCCAAAAATGGCAATTAAACAAAAATGCTACAATTTTTTTAAATGTTTGTTTATCTTGGAAATAACGACAATCACTATTGATTATAACTTGTACACATATATCTAATCCTTAACCTTCATAGAATAGAAACATATATGTAAAATGAGTTTGAACAAATATGAAATATATAAACTCTAATTATTGAGTTGGAAGCAAATTCAAATGAACCCATTATACTTGAGAATGAGGAAAGTTATCTTTTCTGAATTATGACAGCATTACACAGGTGGTGATATGACATAAAGCGGGATGACAAAAATCCCAAGAGGTTCTAGTATAGTAAATACCTTGAAAAAGACTGCAGTGACAGATCCTGTAGCCCCCAGAAATCCAACAGCAAGCACGACATGACTCCAATGGAACTGAGAAAGGTATCCCACTTTCGCCAAGCTACCAACAGAAGCTGGTCCTGTCTGTGTACTTGGAACCAAGGCCTGTGGTTGAAAATTTGATGAAGTTTTCAACTGCCCATCTGTTACCAATAAGACAAAGAAGGGGTTAGAAAACAATCAGCACAAAAACTGAAAGGGATCTGTTTGGATTACAAAAAATGCTAGGGGGAAGAAAATAGAGAGGATATTCGTACATATACTTTCCCTAGCCCCCATTTGTGAGATTTACTGGGATTCTGTTGTCGTATTTTACATATTTGTTCAAACTCTTTTTATTTTATTTACTATTATTACTATAGACAAAAAAATATGTGTAAAACACTAATGATATTTCATTTAGCCTTGTAGTTTTTAAGGTAACAGCCAATACTAAGAAAATATGGTACCCTTCTGCACTATATTTTGTCTTCCCATGCTATTTTCCACTGTCCAAACATACAATAAAAGTTAATGAATGTATTAAAAAGAGCGAAATACACCTTGACCTTGATTTGCAAAAGCTGTTTCTGAACTTGAAACTGCCGGGGCAGGATCCTGAAATTTGGGTGGGGGAGGGGATAAAAAATATTAAGATCAATAGACAGTAGCAGTTGAACTATGCTTCTAAGGTGTTTCCAGATAACAAAAACCACAGTTGACATTCAATGATTAACTAATGTAAAATGAAGATCAAATAACAAGTGCTTACAGGAACCCGTCGAAAAGCTTCATCAATTTCCTCCTTTGTGAGGCCCTTTCTCTCGAGAAAAGAACGCCTATACATGACTGGAGAACCCTTAACTTTTGGATGTGCTAGAAACTTCACAGCATTCTGTACTTGATCCTCACGAATTGGTTCTGAATTTACAAATACGGATGGTGAATATTTCTCCTTTGCAGCTTCCAGATTTGAACTTTGAAGTCCCTCGGCAGATTGTTGTACAGACTCTGAAGCTGTTAAAAGGTCAAAAAACTCATCATCTAGTTGCATCATGAAAACATGCTGAATACATAGCTATGAAAGCTGAAATATATTACTCAATCCATCCCAACAAAAAAGGCAAGTTTGAATGTATGGCAACAAATACTCCAACACAAAATATAATGTAATTTTTTTTAATTGTTGATCGGGATTTGTCCAATTTTTTTACGAATAATCCATCTAGTAGAGATGGAGGTAGTACGGCAACACATAAACTTCTTTTTCAAGTTAATTTAGACAATACTCATAAGAGAAATCTCAATCACGAATCCAATTCTTCATCAATTTCAACAGAAAAAATGCGTAGTTCACAAAATTCTGGTGTTTTCATTTCTCAAGAGCACAACTAGAGAACTTCAAATTCAGATAAAAGTGAAAATCCAGTGATGTGATCGGAGAAAAAAAACCTGCGGATTGAAGTTTGTTGTCGACTGAGTTAGACGGAGAATCGGAGTGACTCGCCATGTTACCTCTCGCAGAGTCGCAGGCTCTTCGCCTCTTCCTCTTCTTCTTCTTCAATGAGTTCAATTGGATGAGGTAATGAAGAATTGAAGATGACAAATGCAGACCTTTTCTTTAGGTAGAAAAAGAGAAACTTTTCGAAGTTAACGAAATCAGAAATCGACGAGACGCAGGAATTAGAAAGGGGCAGGGGTGATTTCGACATTTCGCTCCAAATAAGGGGAATACCAATTTTAAAATCGGCTCCTTTTACCTTCTTTAATTACCTATTTCAAATCATTAATTTATACCCCTCGTCTCTAAATATTTACTACATTTGTATTCCCGAGGTAAAATATTAAATTTTTTCAATTCATTTTATTTACATATTGGTATAGAAATAAAAAATAAAATTTACATATTAAAAAACTACATAAAAAGTTCTTCGAAATAAGAGGTGTCAAGAATATTTTTTTTACAAATAACCAATGAAATCGTAGAAATAAATAAAAGTTCCTCCGACTGCCGAAAAAACAAACGTTGCAAATAATTTGGAACGGAGGGAGTAGTTGAATAAAAATTATACTTCCTCTGTCTCTAATTTATTCTACTTTTTTCTTTTTGAGTTGTTCTACATTAATCTTTTTCTTTTTCTTTTTTGAAAATTTTTGTGGATCCTTTTTATTCTCTCTTATCTGCAAAGTCATACTAAGAATATTAGTTTGAGACATAGGAAGTATAATATACTACCTCTTTCAAAATATATTTATTCAATTTTGATTTTTTGCAAGCGAGCTTGATAAAAATTTGATTATTATTCAGATACTTCTCCCGTCTTTGAGTATTCTTCCATCGCCACAAACAGTAGTTTGAGTTTTTGGTTAAGTTAGTTCTTAACCTAGTATCAAAGTCTTATTGACTAAGAGATCATGACTTTGAAATTCAGTACCACCTAAATTTTGAAAATAAAGTAAGATTTCACGCACAGTTCTCTTTCTCTTCACGTCGCCTTGTGTATCTCTTCGCCATCTGTAGATTTGTAATTCCTCGCGCGTCACCCTTAGGGTCTGTTTGGTTGGAATGGATGAGAGAGGAAGGAATGGATGGTGGGAAATGGGAAGAGATGGGAAGAATTTTGTTCACCTCGCTTGGTTGACAGAGAATAAAAATATTTCATTGCCAATTTTTTATTTTTTTATAAATACTACCCGTATTTTTTAGTTTTATTTTTTTACATTTTATTTGATATAGTTCTAATTTTATTATTTTTTTAATAAGTTTAATTATATATATTATTTTAGTTTTTATTATTACTATGATTTTTACTATTTATTGATTTATTTATTTTGTTATTATAATTATCAATTCTTATTTGTTATATTTTAATAATTTATTTCTTATTATTTATTAGCTTTTACTTTATTATATTATTTTTTTTAATTGTTTTTATTCTTTTATATTTACTTCTTTATTTTATTATTTTAATTATTTTTTATTATTTTTATTATTTATTTGTTTGTTTTATTGCTATACTTTTTTGTTATGATTAATTTTTATTTGTTAATTCATAATGATTTATTCATTTATTTTGATTTGTTTTATTTAATTTTATTTATTTTATTTTTTTAAATGGCAAGGTGAATAAAAAAATCGATGGAAGAAAAAAGAGAAGGATAGAAAGAAAGGAGATTTCGTCCGATTTAGAAGGATTGATTTGGAAGAAAGGAGAGAAAATTGAAGCTACAATTTTGGGTCTCCGCTCTTTCATATTTTTAACATAACAAGAAATTCACTTCCCTCTCCTCCCCTCCCTAGAACCAAACAGATCCTTAGATCTTCTTCCTAGTATGTCTTCTTCTTTGTTCACATATTTTTCTCACATAGTGTTGAACTAGATTGCAAAATTCAGGTGAATCTCTATCTCCTATCAGAGAATACAGATATGAAGTCTTAGTTTAATTTAAGTTATATGATTTTATCTTATTTAGAAAATTTATTTATTTAACTATAAGAAAAATATCTCACTTAAAAATCAAAGAATATGACAAAACTTAGATAATACAAGAAAAAATTTATCCACGTTGAACTATGACCAGCTCATACACAAAAAGATTAGATTTTAGATTCAATATTTGGAGCTTCGTGTCTATCTGATTTGATTTTTTAAAAAATCTGGTCGGATCTGTTTTGATTAAATCTGATTAGATTTGATCTATTCTTATTATATTTAAAGTTATTTTTGATCTGATTTGATTTGATTCAATTTTAATAACAATAAATAATATCTTGAAAAATATCCTGTTGAGGAGCAATTGTGACCTTTTGTCCATCACTTAAGTTTTAGTGTAAAAAAAAAGTAGACATAAATTGAGGAAGGGAGGAGCAATTGTGACTTTTTGTCCATCACTTTAGTTTTAGTGTAAAAAAAAGTAGACATAAATTGAGGGACGGATGATATTAAATTACTCTATTTTAAAATCTTTGTCGTCATGTTCTCCTTACATGATTTAAATAATTCCAATGCAAATAAATTATGATCTGATTTAAATATAATTATATTTATAAGTTGTTATTTATCTCATCTCATGTAAAATGAATTGATTGGAATAAAAAAAGACATGTGCAAAAAGTGAGATTCCTCACACCTCTCTATTCATCTCAAATTGTGCATCTCGAGTTATTCTAGGTAAGCTAAGGTCACTCCACTTCCAACTTCCAAGTCCCAACCCATCCCACACATTACTCGCCGGACCAATCGATCCCGCCACCGCCGGCGCCGCCGCAATGGCAGGGCAGCACCAAAAACCCCACGCCATAATGATCCCATACCCATACCAAGGCCACGTCAACCCCTTCGTCTACCTCGCCGTCAAACTCGCCTCCGTCGCCGGCTTCACCGTCACCTTCGTCAACACCCACTACGTCCACGCCCAAATCTCCAAATCCCTGCAGGCCAAGAATCACAACAAGTACGACGACCTGGTCGCCGTCGCCCGGAAATCCGGCCTGGATATCCGGTGCGTCACCGTCGGCGACGGGTTCCCGTTGGGATTCGACCGCTCCTTCAACCACGACCAGTTCAAGGAGGGGATTCTGCACGTTTTCCCCGCCCACGTGGACGAGCTCGTCGGGGAACTTGTCCGGTCCGGCGGCGACCCGCCGGTGACGTGTTTGATCGCCGACACGTTCTTCACCTGGACCTCCGAGATCGCCGGGAAGTATGGCCTGGTCAATGTTTCTTTCTGGACCGAACCGGCTCTGGTATTGTCTCTGTACTATCACTTGGACTTGCTCAAGAAAAATGGCCATTTCGCTTCTAATGGTAATTAATCTTTATTTACTAATCACACCACATGATCATTATTCCATGCTTTAATCTTTCAATCTGACTTTTGTTATCAAATTAACTTTGACCGTACATTATGAAAAAAAATAAATTGAATTTTTATGTAAATTTAACAAAGTTTTGAAAATATTTCATTTCTATAATATATATTTATATATAAATTGAGATATTAATAGCTGAAATGTTAAATTGAATATCGTAACAAATCAAATGAAAGTTAATTTCAAAACAGATGGAGGAATAATAATTTTAAGTCGTTATACATTATTGACCCGAACATTTGAAACTCAACTTTTAACCTTATTGTTACAGACACAAAATAATATCAAATGTCTGTAAGAGTGAAGTTAAAAGTTGAGGTTCAAATGTTGGATCAAAATATCACTTTCCTCTTATAAGGCATTAATATATTAACAAAACAAAAAAAGGATGAGGCACAATATTGGTAATAAGGGGATGACATGTGGGGTTGATGACAGTGGGATAGTTTTGGGGTTTTATTGGCTGCTGCTAGGCACTACATACCAAACCCCACTAGCTCTTGTTTGGGCATGGAGTATATACCATCAAAAATCCTTGCTCTTTCTCACTAGGGTCTTATCTCCATTATTCTTTTTTAATAATGGTAAAAGGAGGTGAGGCTAATTTTATTTTAACTTATTAAAATTTCAAGAATATCAAATTTATATATTAATATGTCTAAATTTAACAAATTTAGGTAAAAATGCCTGAATGTAATGATTCGGGATGTGGACACTCATACAAGCGTTCTTGTTCTAAGCGAGATCGAGCCCGATTGGCTTTTTCACCATATTATAATATTTGAAAGGGCCTTGCATTCATTACATATTTTTAGTACTATATTATAATATCATTTGTTCATCTTACTAAAATACAAAGACTCAATACTAAAGATCTAACTTGTGACATTTTATTTAAGAGAGTTATGGCAATTCTTCTCGACCACAAAATCTTTTGCTGCATTCATGAGACATTTATGCTCGCTTTGAATTTCTTTTTTATATGCTATGTGATTAGAAAAAATAATAATACAAAATGTACGTTTTTTTTGTCACAATCAGATAAGCGAGAGGACACCATAGACTACATCCCAGGAGTTAAAGCCATAAAACCCAAGGACCTAATGTCTTATCTCCAATCACGTGACACGTGTACGGTGATGCACAGAATCATCTACAAGGCTTTCGAGGACGTTAAGAAAGCTGACATCATCATCTGCAACACGGTTCAAGAGCTCGAGCCCCACACGCTCTCGGCCTTGAACGCGTACCAGCCCATTTACGGTATTGGCCCGATCTTCCCATCCGGGTTTAACAAGAGCCCAATCACTACAAGCCTGTTATCCGAGTCGGACTGCTCCCAATGGCTCAACGCCAAGCCCGATGGGTCGGTCTTGTACGTTTCCTTCGGAAGCTACGCCCACACTAGCAAAACGGACATCGTGGAGATAGCCCATGGGCTAATGCTTAGCGGCATGAACTTCCTTTGGGTGCTCCGACCCGACATTGTCAGCTCGGAGGAACCTAATTTCTTGCCCTCCGGCTTCGAACGAAACATCGGAAACCGAGGTTTGTTTGATAAACATTTAATTTATTTGTGTTGAATCATTCATGCACTCATTCTCATCATGAATCATTTAAAAACAATCACTCTATATTTTAAAGACATGGAATATTAATTAACCAACTCAACGAAAAGTTTAACCTTATTTGCAGGCTTAAGAATTTTTTTTAGGACGATGCTAGGGTGCCACCATATGGGTGCTACCATGGGTGCATCCATGCTTCGCACAGACAAACATAGACGATAATTGTCTGTGCTACACATACAATTATCGTCTGTGCGAAGCATGAGTGCACCCATGTGGTGACACCCTAGCATTTTCCTTTTTTTTTAACTCTAACAATGGTGGATTGAAATCCATCCATCATCTTTCCTTTAATATGAATCATCTGAATCGGTTTTAAGGTTTGGTGGTGCCGTGGTGCCGGCAGACGGAGGTGATCTCACATCCGGCGATTCGAGGGTTCCTGTCTCACTGCGGCTGGAACTCGATCCTCGAGAGCATCTGGTGCGGGATACCGTTGATTTGCTACCCTCTCGTCACCGACCAGTTCACTAACCGGAAACTGGTGGTCGACGAGTGGAAGATCGGGATCGACCTCTGCGACGCGCCGCCGCCGATCGGGCGGCTTGGAATCGCGGCGAAGATCGACGTTTTCATGAGGGAGAAGAGCGCGGAGCTGAAGAGGAGCGTCCTACAATTGAAGGGCGCTTTGGAGAATGCCCTTGCATCGGAGGGTTCGTCCTCGACGAATTTCAATCTTTTTGTTGAGGACGTGAAGGCCCGCTCGCAGAAGCTGGTCGGGCTTTCTGCTAATGGGCTCAGGAAATCTCAGGCCCAAAATCACGATGTACCCAACTTGATTTCTAGTTTACCACAAGGGATAGTCCCCGAGTTTTATACTCCTAATTTGTTGTAACTTGTAAGTGGGTCACATTTATTTTCCTATAAAATAGATTATTATTGTTGTTGTTGTTGTGAAAAATTAGAATTATTTTGTTTCTTATTTCAATGTACTTTTAATAAAATGATACGAAGTATTAATTTAGTTGTGATTTTTTATTCTCAATAATATCTGTCTTCTTCAAAACCTTGACATCAATCTAAATGTGCCGATAAATGTTGGACAGTTGGCAAGACAATGAGTGCCAATGGGTAAGATCCGAGTTCGATTCCTGGCAATTGCATTGGAAGGCAACTATGATAATTGATAAGCATAAAACCTATGCAAATACCAGATGGAGACTTTCCCATTTATCACCAATTTGCAATCAAAATTCAATTTGTCTCGTCACAATGATCGTCTAGATATACATTGCAACATCATTTGCATTGTCTCAAGTTGGAATGTTATTTTTTTCATCTTCTTACATGTCTTTTAATTTAACTTGTATTTGAGTTTATGCAGACAGAGAGTATACTCTTCTTAGGGGCTGTTTGTTTCAGCCTCTTAATGGTTCAGATGTCTGAATGGTTCAGCACTTAATGGTTCAGACTGTTTGTTTCAGCCTCTTAATGGTTCAGATGTCTGAATGGTTAAGAGATTTGCCTCTAAATGGTTAAGTATTATACAGAGTCTGAATGATTAAGACTTCTTATCTGAATTGATCAGACATTTGCCTCTGAATAGTTAAGCAATATACTAGCTCTTAATGGTTCAGACCTCTTACTGGTTCAGCACTTAATGGTTCAGACCTCTTACTGGTTCAACACTTACCCATTCAGAAATTGCCAAACAGCCCCTTATCCTTGCACAAAATAAGTGTTTTAGATTAGTTTTCAAGCCCCTCCCTCTTCTGATCCTACTTGCATTTGATTATCGACGAAAGACTTTAGGGTTTCAGTGCCATAACATGAAGTTATGAGACTCACAATAAGTATAGTTATAAATTTGCCGATTAAATAAATTTATAAAATACTATAATTGTAATTTGTAAATAAACTGTTCTATAATAAATAAATGTATTTATAAACAATTATAATAGTTGGTTAAGAAACTACATTTTGACATATTTCAATGTCATTTCATAGAAATATATAATGTAAATTTCGAAGAAAAATTTACAATAAATTTATTTATTTAAAAATTTACAATAAATTTATTTATTTAAAAATTTACAATAAATTTATTTATTTAAAAAGTTAATATTTGATGTTGACTATACAATGATAATTAATTTTTTTGGACAAATATTCCAAAAAATTAATAATTTTTTAATAAATAGTAACAGTACTTAATTTTTTAATGATCTTTTTGACATTGATGATGATGATGTTGATAATAATTACAATAATAATTTTAATATATATAATATGAAAAATACTTAAATAATTTTTCAAAGTCGTCGTTAGGGGTTAGACAAAATTAAAAAGAGTTAATGAGATTAGGGATTGAAAAATGTTGAAAGTTAACTTTTTCAACAAAAAAAATGCTCTTAATAGTACGAATTATTTTTGAGAATGGTAAAGTTATATATTGTCAGATAACATTTCCAAGAGGCTAAAACTAAATGATAAAATTATTGCCAAACAACCTTACAACAAACTAGATATATAAATCCCAAGAGAGGTAATCATAATAGCTCAATCTTTATCTCAATGAATTTTAAAAAGTAAAACTTTTATGTATATAAAAATTATTTCAAAAATTCTATAAATAAATGATGAAAAAATATTTTATTTTATGAAATAATTAATCAAAATGTACAAATAAATATGGAGTAATTTTTTTTTTAAATATTGACCAGTGTAAATCCTTTTTAGAGACCGCGAGTATTCCTTAATTTCTTCAGCTTAGTATTTCTTTCCTAACAAGAAACGAAGTCCCAAAACTCTTATAAATAAATCGTCAAACAGATCCGCCTTCTTCCTTCTTATTATCATCACTCCCTAAATCGAAGGAAACCTCTCTGAGAGAAAAAAGGATCTCTGCTAGCCGAAGAACACGCACATCACGCACCATGGGGAGTAACGAAGCCGAATCTTCGAACTCGTAAGTGTTCTTTCTCTATGAATCTCGATGGAATTGTGATTGTGCCCAGATCGATCAACGGACTGTTTTTTTTTTCGGATTTCGTGAAATTGGGGTTTGTTTGCAGGAAAGGGACGAAGAGAGATTTTAGCACTGCGATTCTGGAGAAGAAGAAGTCTCCTAATCGGCTCATTGTGGATGAGGCGATCAACGACGACAACTCCGTAGTGGCTCTTCACCCTAACACTATGGAGAAGCTCCAGCTCTTCCGCGGTGACACTATTTTGATCAAGGTTTGATTTTGTTTTTCCATCCCGGATTCTGTTTTAATTGTTGGAGATTTGGGTTGGGACGACTGAGTTTGATGGAACAATGTTGGGTTTAGCTTTTGGAATCTGGAAAATTTATGGGATTCTATTATTTGAGAGAACTTTCGTTGATGGTATGAAGTGTTCATGAACACGCACGGACATAAAGAGTAAATTCAATATCAAATCTGCTCACTCTTTGAAACGCTTGCGCTTGCACATGCCTCTGCTTCGGTGAAGTTTTGAAGGTGCAAGCGTTCATTAAATTTGAGCCATATCTCTTTCAAGATTTGTTTTCCATCCGCCAACGACTGACACACTAACTTAAAGATATACCCCCAAATAAATATGTGATATGAGTGAGTAGCTATTGTTCATCACAGTGCTAAACTTACCAACCAACATAAGCTTTGAAACGCTGTATCTCGATACTTCAATAATTTTTTCGGTGAGATCATAATGTCTGGCCAGAAGGCATGCGTTGACTAAGTATTGCATCTGATTTAAATTGGGTTGTTCTCTGTCCATGTGCTTGTTACCGGTAGAACAAGCACGGGGACAGAGAAACCCAATTTAAATCAAGTGCAATACTTCGTCAACGCATGTCTTCTGGCCAGACATTATGATCTCACTGGAAAAGTGATTGAAGTATCGACATAGAGCGTTTCAAGGACTTTGTTGGTTGGTACTGTGATGAACCAATAGCCATACTCACTCGGCTCACATATTTACTTGGGGGTATATCCTCAAGTTAGTGTTTCAGTCGTTAGCGGATGGAAAGCGAATCGTTAAAGAGATATGGCTGAAATTCGATGAACGCTTGCGCCTTCAAAGCTTCACCGAAGCAGAGGCTTGTGCAAGCGTTTCAATGGGTGAGCAAATTTGGTATTGAGTTTCCTCTTTATGTCCGTGTGTGTTGATGAACACTTCATACCATTGAGTGATTTGATTTGTGGACTACTACGGAGTAATTGGGTTTAAGAATGGCCTTTTAAGTGTTTGATAAAGTATGAGTTCCAATGCCGTTGGTTGAGAGTGTTACGGAATTTACATTTTGTTTTTATGTTCAACACATTGATTACAGGGTAAGAAAAGAAAGGATACAATCTGTGTTTCCCTTGTTGATGACACATGTGAAGAACCTAAGATTAGGATGAACAAGGTTGTTAGGAACAATCTCAGAGTCAGGCTTGGAGATGTTGTTTCTGTCCACCAGTGTCCTGATGTCAAGTATGGTAAACGTGTGCACATTCTTCCCGTGGACGATACAGTTGAAGGAGTTACTGGGAATCTCTTTGATGTTTACTTGAAACGTAAGTCTTTCAGTATGAAACTCACTGTTATAGTTCAGTTACTACTTACTAGGCTAATGATACCCTCCCCTCCTCCCATCCACACATACACACCACACCCACAAAGAAGAAGCCTAGTTTCTCTGACTTTTTAATTTTCTTAAAGTACAATCTTTGAAACTATCAAATCTATCTAAATTTTTTTAGAAAAAATGGTGAGTCAAGTGTTTACCAACTTTAGATAATAAACTTGTTTGCGTGTGAGTCCTACTTTTCTCATCACATTCGTAATGACAATATGCAACATTATGTGATCCTTAGCCATTCCTTACTGAGTTTTACTTTTATGTGCAGCATATTTCCTTGAGTCCTACAGGCCAGTGAGGAAGGGTGACCTCTTCCTTGTCAGGGGTGGGATGAGGAGTGTTGAGTTCAAAATCATTGAGACTGACCCCGGGGAATACTGTGTTGTCGCCCCTGACACTGAAATATTCTGTGAGGGTGAACCTATAAGAAGGGAAGATGAGGACCGGTTGGACGAGATTGGTTATGATGATGTCGGTGGGGTCCGTAGACAGATGGCTCAGATAAGGGAACTCGTTGAGCTACCATTAAGGCATCCACAGCTCTTCAAGTCAATTGGAGTTAAGCCCCCAAAAGGAATCCTTCTATACGGGCCTCCCGGGTCGGGAAAGACTCTAATAGCTAGGGCAGTTGCGAATGAGACTGGTGCATTCTTCTTTTGCATTAACGGGCCAGAAATAATGTCAAAACTCGCGGGAGAAAGCGAAAGCAATCTTAGGAAAGCGTTTGAGGAAGCTGAGAAGAACGCACCCTCAATCATTTTTATTGATGAGATTGATTCTATTGCTCCCAAACGTGAGAAGACGAATGGGGAAGTTGAAAGGAGGATTGTTTCTCAGCTATTGACACTTATGGATGGGCTGAAATCCCGTGCACATGTCATCGTCATGGGGGCCACCAACAGGCCCAATAGCATTGATCCCGCTCTGAGGCGGTTTGGGAGATTTGATAGGGAAATTGACATTGGTGTCCCCGATGAAGTTGGACGTCTTGAGGTTCTTAGGATACATACCAAGAACATGAAGCTTGCGGAAGATGTAAGAACACATGTTTCTTTGAGTGATATATGTTCGAAGTTTTATATAAAAACTTGAACGTTTAACATAATATGTGATAAAAAAATTCATCCCATCATAGCCTAGGATAATACTATATTTTAACATATGTGGATGTGCTTTACAGGTTGATTTGGAAAAAATTGGGAAGGGAACACATGGTTATGTTGGTGCAGATTTAGCAGCATTGTGTACTGAGGCGGCTCTTCAGTGCATCAGAGAGAAGATGGATGTGATTGATTTGGAAGATGAAACCATAGATGCAGAAATTCTGAACTCAATGGCTGTTACCAATGAACATTTCCAAACTGCTCTTGGAACCAGCAACCCCTCTGCGTTGCGCGAAACTGTAAGTGTAGAGAGAGTTTTCACACATAGTACCTTTATCCCCCAAAAAAGAACATTATTTAACCAAATTACATTTTTCTTTTTAGCTTTAGCAAGGTATACCTATGGGAAATAATCAAATCTGGTTATGTTTTTAGCTTGAAACTACATGTGTAGAATTTTCACACATACTACCCCACCCATCCAAAAATAGCCTTTTTTCATACCAAAACACACATTAAATTTTAGTAAGGTACCATTATCTGTACTTCTAGCTCTGAGCGGGAGGTCTCTTGGAAACAGCTTCTCTACTTCATAGTAGGGGGTAAGGTTTGTGCACACGTACCCTCCCCAAACCTTGCTTTGTTGGATTTTGCTGGGTTTGTTGGTTTTTTTTAATAATACTTTTTGTTGCTTTAACTAATTGTTGTACTTTTAACATAACTAAATTCTACAAAGACACTTCAAAAAAGCAATAGACTTAATGAAACTTAGCTTCTTCTATAGGAGTTTTTTCTTTGGGAGGGGGGGTGGGGGGTGGAGGGAGTATTTGTTTATAGATACTGGTTTTACTTTTTAGTTAATTATTTAATAATGGTATCTGTTAAACCAGGTTGTTGAGGTTCCAACTACCTCCTGGGAAGATATTGGTGGTCTGGAAAATGTCAAGCGGGAACTCCAAGAGGTGGTTATCTAATTAATTTATGCAATCGTTTTTGTAGAAATGTTAATGTGCTTAGTACAGTTCATCAGTTCTTTTATCAAAATTCACATGTTTGTTGTTCTGTAGACTGTGCAATATCCAGTGGAGCATCCGGAGAAGTTTGAGAAGTTTGGAATGTCTCCCTCAAAGGGTGTCTTGTTCTATGGCCCACCAGGGTGCGGGAAAACTCTCTTGGCGAAGGCTATTGCCAATGAATGTCAGGCAAATTTCATCAGCATCAAAGGTCCGGAACTGCTCACTATGTGGTTTGGGGAGAGTGAGGCCAACGTTAGAGAGATCTTCGACAAGGCTCGCCAATCTGCTCCTTGTGTCCTATTCTTTGATGAANACTGTGCAATATCCAGTGGAGCATCCGGAGAAGTTTGAGAAGTTTGGAATGTCTCCCTCAAAGGGTGTCTTGTTCTATGGCCCACCAGGGTGCGGGAAAACTCTCTTGGCGAAGGCTATTGCCAATGAATGTCAGGCAAATTTCATCAGCATCAAAGGTCCGGAACTGCTCACTATGTGGTTTGGGGAGAGTGAGGCCAACGTTAGAGAGATCTTCGACAAGGCTCGCCAATCTGCTCCTTGTGTCCTATTCTTTGATGAACTGGACTCAATTGCCACACAGGTTTGTTTCAGTTACTCTCAACCTGCCCTTGATTTGCAATTAAATACCCCCTTCTTCCCAAAATAGAGTTTCACAATTGACCGAACACATTCATCAATAAAGGCGAAAGTGTGTTGAATTTTGTGCAGAGGAGAGAAATTGTGTGAACCACAAGATTGTTTTCTTAAAGGGAAAGATTAACTTTTTTGGGACAAATAAAAAAAGGAAACCTTTGTTCTTGTCCCTGCAGAGAGGATCTTCGTCAGGAGATGCTGGTGGGGCTGCAGACCGGGTTTTGAATCAACTCCTCACAGAAATGGACGGAATGAATGCGAAGAAGACAGTTTTCATAATCGGTGCCACAAACAGGCCCGACATAATCGACCCCGCCCTTCTTCGTCCTGGTCGTCTGGACCAGCTGATTTACATTCCTCTCCCTGATCAAGAATCTCGTCTCCAGATTTTCAAGTCCTGCCTGAGGAAGTCTCCAGTCTCCAAGGATGTTGATCTAAGAGCTCTTGCCCAATACACTCAAGGCTTCAGTGGAGCTGACATTACAGAAATCTGCCAGCGTTCTTGCAAATATGCCATTAGAGAGAACATCGAAAAGGTGTGAAATTTAATGGTTTTTCTTTTCCTTCCCAGAACTTTGGAATGAAGGGTGTGTTTGGTTGATGTGTCTTTTTGCAGGACCTTGAGAGGGAAAGGAAGAGGAGGGAGAATCCGGAGGCTATGGAGGAGGACGTGGAGGACGAGGTGGCGGAGATAAAGGCCGCTCACTTTGAAGAATCAATGAAGTACGCGCGGCGGAGCGTGAGCGATGCTGATATCAGAAAGTACCAAGCCTTCGCTCAAACTCTGCAGCAGTCTCGGGGCTTCGGCACCGAGTTCAAGTTCTCAGATGCCGCCCCAGCGGCGGCGGCACCGGCCGCCGACCCTTTTGCAACTTCAGCCGCCGGAGGGGCTGATGATGATGACCTATACAGTTGAAGATTTTTCATCGTTTGCGCCATTGCTTCTTCTTCTTTTACACAATTATTGAACCAGTTTGTGTTTTATTTTGCTGGGCTTTCTTATCTTTTGCTTTTCTGCAATTGTAATTCATTTTAAAACAGTTAAGTTAACATTGTTTAAAAATGTTTTAGAGTTTATACTTGAGAAAGTACTGTATGTTTCAAAACAGCTGTAATCTATTTTCTGCAATTGCTTTATTTTAACTGTCCACTTCGCCCTTAATATTTCAAAAGAGCGTAAACAAAAAACAATTAATCTTAAAAAAATCTTGTTTGAGACTTTGAGTAACCAATTAGCTATAGAAATACACGAAAGCATTGCTCACTTAGGCCTTGTTTGGGAAGATCGTTCTCAATTAGCGTTAATGTTTTGGATAAAACATTAACGGTGTAGATTTATTCGAAAAACGCTAACGCTAAAGGTTACCGTCAGATAACTTTTTCAAAACGATAATGCTAATCTTTAACGGTGATGCCAAATGGAGCCTTATTTCCTCCCTCCCAAAATCCTCAACCCGATCAACCTCAAAAAAAAGTTCATTATTGAGTACATCAAAACATAACTTTCTTTTTAATTTAAAATTCTAAAACACTTTTCTTTTTGTTTTTTTTGCAAACTAGAGTGAATTTGGGATTTGCGGTGAATCATAAATTAAAATCTCTCAATTGGACCAAGAGAACTGCTGGCATTGGAGTCTTGGAGGGCCGGAATTGGCCCGAGCTTGCAACTCACTTTGTAGAGATTTTTACCGTTTCGTGTCTTATTCTGTATTTTTCAACCAATTTGGAATGGTTTGGACCACATGCTCATCCATCTTTGTCACAGGGGTGAGCATGGTATGATTTGGGACGATACTTAGCTCGTACCGGTACCATACCAAATATTTCGGTTCGATATGAGATTTTACTCCGTACCGATCCCAATCCTGAAATATCAGTTCGGTATGGTTCGGTATCGGTTTCGGTACAATTCGGGATGAATATACATACCTACTTTACACCTTAAAATTTAACAATGCCCCTCTATTTTTGAAAATTAAAATTTGAATTTAAATAATAAAACATGAAAAATTTAAAAAAAGAATATTTAAATGCAAGAGATGCTTATCAAAACTTAGCTTATCAAAACTTAGTTTAAAGGAGTATTTCAAATCTTTGTGAATACTTTTATATTCATATACAAAAACTAAAACTCAAATAAAAATATAATTTACACACAATAGAACTTAAACCAATTTTTTTAAAAAATTATTATTTAGTGAAGGAATAAAAAAGTATTACTCCGGGGTATTATTTGTATAATATTTTAGTATATATGTTTGGTTCGGGATTTTCGGTATGAGATGTCACCTCGTACCGTTCCCAAATACCGTACCGACCATTCGGTTCGGTTCCTTCTCGTTACTTTTTCACTTCGATATTTTTCGGTTCGGTATTCTCAGTTTTTTCGGGAAATTTTGGTATCGGTTCGGTACTTGCTCACCCCTAATCTTTGACCCTTCGTATTCAAGATAGTGACAAAATAGAACCTGTTCAGATTATCCTGCTTTGTCATCGTACAAACTTATACTCCGTATATAAATATATAAAATACTTAAGCGGTCGATCCAACTTTGACTTACAAATTAATGAAAGAAATGAAATATTTATTTAAAATATCTTGGAAAAACCAAAAGATAAAAGTATAAGTTTCATAGAAATTATGAGCCACAAATTGAGGTGAATATGGCTCAAAGGTCTAGATTTATAAGTGTTCTGGTTCTAATCCGTTTTTTGAAATATTTGAATCTGAATAATTATTTTTATCTGACTATAAAATTTACTTTTTCTTAGTTAAAAGTTTTTAATTCTATCTCTAAAAATTGAAAAAAATATATTGAGTTATGATGTGAACTTTTGTTCCCCTTTTTGAATATTAGAATGTAGTATCTATTCATATATTTTCAATATATTAAAGCTCGTATATGTGACTTTTCATTTGGGAGAGTCATGACGGTATCATTGGACCACAAGGTCCTTGACAGTTATGATATAAACTTAAAACTCCGTATCAAAAGATTCATTTTGAAATAAAGTTTAAAAATATCATATTTATATGATATGAAATTATACTCCTTTCATCCCTGAGTACTTGTCCACTTTTGATTTTTTTCGGTCATAATTAAAAAACTTTAACTTCAAATTAAATAAGAACGATATTATATATTGATAAAAAAATAATATTGTTAAATTTATTATATCAAATATTTTCAAAATATCACTTTATATAACTAATATATAATATATAATTTTTTTAACTATATGTCAAGGGTTATAGTATATAAATAGCAATATTAATGGTCAAAATTGGGTAATAGAGACCATGGAAAAGTAAATTAACACTGTTATCTCATCCTCTATCTCCATTCTTCCACCGCCGCCGTTATCTCTTCTAAGCTTCAATGCTATTGGGTTTGATTGCGTCTCCAATTTATGTTCTTATTCCTGTAGATGATGAACCTCTTTGCGTAAGTGTTCGGATCTACGGTGGCAGCATATACCATATATCGTTGTTCTTATGGATCCGATTTTTTTTTTAAATAAATATTTTTGCTTTGAATGGATTCATATAATCTCATGTTTAACTTCGCTTTAACCACACGCAATTTGGGTCTTACTCTCTCGCATCTCAAAGGTCCTGGATTTGAGCTCAACAGATCGACATTCTTAAAGAAAACTTTTGAACTCAGTAGATGTATATTTGCATATACTATGTCAGCTCAATTGTTTCACAAATAAACCTTTTCTTTTCAATGAATGATTAGCTCAGTTATATAATGCTATTTTTAGTCATTACAAATATAGATGTCTTCTATGGGTGGCAGTTTTCAACAATTGTTCTGTTTTTTTGATGCAGTTTTTAACTAAGTATATAAAGTGCACACAGTACACTTGTTTCATTTCTGCACTCACACTTGTTGAAAAGATTGTTCAAAATGTATTTATAAAAAGTTATGTTGCTCTTTTGTTTTTTACAGACATCTCAAAGCACCTTCTCACATTGATTTGAACTCAATAGACCTGCACACTCAAGAGGTATTCTTTCATCCAGTTTGTTCACATAGTTTCACCAAAAAATTTAAAATAGTTGGATCTATTAGAAAAATGTTTTGTTGAAGTTGATGCAAATAAAAAGTCTAACCTATCTACTATAATTGCCCTAGAGGAAAAAGGAAATTTATTGGTGGTAAGGTCCTCTAAATCCTCAGTTTTAACTTGGGTCTTTGGCAAAATGTTCTACATTTCTACATTTACCAATTACCATTATCAACTTCTCTCAATAGAGAACAAGCTAACTGAAAATTCAGGTTCATGCTAATTCAGTTTCTATCCTCTATATGATTTTTATTTGTATATATTATGTTAGCCCAATTGTTACACAAATAATTATTTGTTCATCACTGAATGATTAGCTCAGTTATATAATAGCTACTTTAATCATGATGGATATAAATGTTTTCGGTGTCCACATATCCATTATGAGTTGTAGCACTCAACAAACATTCTAGTTTTTTGTGCACTTTTTAAGGAGTATATAAAGTGCACTTCTTTCATGTCTGTATTTACACACATATGCAACCATTAAAAAACATTTATTTAAGCTATAAAATATTGTTGTCTGAAAAATTATGGATCCAAATCCACCTTTTTCCCTTCACCATCCAATATTTACTATCTTTCTCCTTTTTATAGCAACTAAGGTGTTATGTACTTTCACAGTTTCACATTGTAAATGAGTGTAAGCATGGTTTTTTATTCGTACTTGTTGAAAGAATTATTAAAATGTATATATTACCAAAATTGTTGCTCTTTTGTTTCATACTCAATTATCTCTTAAAAACTGATAAATGTATTTATCAGTTCAATCTTCAGCACAAATACATTCCACATTGTCTTATTCAATTATCTCTCATATTTTTTTAAACCCCTTTTTAGATTTTCACTTCAATTTTTTTGTTATCATTCTAAGTTTACAACTTTCTTGTCATGTTTTTTATAATTCAATTATCTCAGGTTTTTTAATCCTTTTCAGATTTTAAATGCTTCATATTTTTGTATGATTTTTTATATTAACTGATTTTTACTTTCTTAGATTTCTTACTCATTTTGATTTTTGTCCATTTTTAATATTGACAATAATGTCCAATTTCTTACTCTTTTTAATTTTGATTTTTAATATTTTAGTCTTTTTACTTTTCATACCAACTTATTTTTTTTGCTCCTAATTTTTAGCGAAGATGTGCAATACAATTATACGTAGACACTCAATTATTTTTATCTTTCAGGTGATTTTGATCGTTTTTTTAAATCGCTTGAATATTTTATCTTGCCTAAACATTTGTCAAGAAGAATTCAAGAAATCAAAACAATGAGTTCTTGACAAATTTACCTTTAAATAAGAAAACTCTCAACACAATTTCACTTTTTAATTTCTTTGATCCAAAATATTGAGAAAAGCTTGACAATAAATAAAGAGTAAGAAAGTTCATGTGACAGTTTTACCATTTGATTTTTTCGATCCAAAGAACTGAGAAAAGCTTGATAATACATCAAGAGATACTCCATATTATTATAGACAAGGGGCCCATAAAATGTCAGCGCCGAGCCTAAGCCTGAGTTATAACTTTGGTCTTTGGTGAAATGTTCTATGTTAACAATTATCAACTTCTTTGAACAGAAAACAAGTCAACTCGTTATCGTACAAATTTCCTAACCAAAATTTCAAGTTAAAGCTATTTTAGTTACCAACCTCTATATGTTTCTTATTTGTGCATACTATGTTAACCCAACTGTTACACAAATAAATCTCTGTTTTTTTGTTGAATGATTAGCTCAATTATATAATAGACCTATTTAATCAGTATGAATATAAGGGTCTTGAGTATCGACATATCTATTATTGGTAGTAGTTCTCAACAAATGTTGTGGTTTTTTGTACACTTTTTGTAAAAGTATATAGAGTGCACTTCTTCCATGTATGCATTTAAACGCATATACAACTATAAAACAACATGTATTTAAGCTATAAAACATTGTTGTCTGAAATATTTTGGATCCAAATCCACCTTTTTTCTACACCAACTAATATTTACCACCTTTCTCCTTTTTACGTGACTAATGTGTTATACACTTTCACACTGTAAATGAGTATGAAGTTTGGTTTTATATTCATACTTGTTAAAAGGACCATTAAAAATGTATTTATAATAAAGTTTGTTGTTCTTTTGTTTTTTTACGAACACTTCAAAGCACATTTTCTTATTGATTTAAACTCAATAGACCTGCAGACTCCAAAGTTTTTTCAACTCTTTTGTTCACATAGATTCACCAAAAAATATAAAATAGTTGGTTCTACTTGTAATTTTTTTCGAAGTTGGTGGATGCATTTAAAAAGTCTGTGATCTCGACTATAATGACCTAGTTAGTTTTGTCTCTTAAGTGCATGAGTGTACACTATAAATGTGCTAGAAGAGAACAAATTGAATTGGTGGTAAGGTCCTCTATATCTTAAGTTATAATATGGGTCTTTAGTGAAATGTTCTATGTTTACCATTATCAACTTCTTTCAATAGAAAACAAGTCAATTCATTATCGAACAAATTTGCTAACTGAAATATCAAGTTAGTGCTAATTTAGTTACCAACCTCGATATGTTTTTTAATTGTGCATACTATGTTAGCTCAACTGTTACACAAATAAATCTCTATTTTTTCATTGAATGGTTAGCTCAATTATATAATAGATATGTTTAATCATTATGAATATAAGGGGCTTCACTATCCTCATATCTATAATGGGTAGTAGTTATCAACAAATGTTGTGGATTTTTTGTGCACTTTTTATTAAAGTATATAAAGTGCACTTCTTCCATGTCTGCATTTACATGCTTGCATATAAGCATGTACAACCATTAATAACATGTATTTAAGCTATAAAATATTGTCTGAAATATTATTTATCCAAATCACCTTTATTCTACAACATCTAATATTTACTATCTTTCTACACCATCCAATATTTACTATCTTTCTCCTTTTTATGTGACTAAGGTATTAAAAACTTTCACTCTAAATGAGTATGGAGTATGGCTTTATATTTGTACTTGTTAAAAGGATCATTAAAAATGTATTTATAAAAAAGTCTATTGCTCTTTTGTTTTTTACAAACACATCAAAGCACATTTTTGTATTGATTTAAACTCAATAGATTTTCCTTTAAACAAAAAGACTGTCATGACAATTTCACTTTTGGAATTCTTTGATCCAAAAAACTTAAAAAATATTTGATAGGATTTCGAACGAAGTTATCCGGAATTAGTTAATACTTCCATGTTGAAATTAGTTCCCAAAATGTCTTTTGGCTTGATTAACCTGCTGAAATTAGTTAATACTTCCATGTTCAAGGTATTGATAAAAACTTTAAAAAACTGAGTTGAACACCTTTATATTCTTAACAGTGTCATATTCTTTAAAAGTGCAGCATTTAAAAAACTAATGCCCATTATCTAGGCACACATTTTGTGGACTTCTAAATGACATGATTTGTTTTAGCTTGATGATTTCAAACAGCTAAATGCATAAAAAAAACAGAGGTCAACCGGGAGAAGTATATACTATTACTAAATGCACAAAAAAACAGAGGTCACTTTGATCATTTAAAATCTTGAAAGAAGAATTTTCACTGTCATTAAGAAAAATATATGCACTCTGCTTACGTGCTGGTGGTGTGTAAGCTTGCTTTCCAAACTTGAATTTTGCGCACTCTCCAATCCAGAAGCTTTTGTCTGCATTTGCCTCGTCACCCCTTTTATTTTGGTATCTGGGATAGTACTTGATGTCGAAGTCATCACAACCGGTTAAAATCAGACCTTCCTTTGTAGCTATTTCTTCAATCCTCCACATGCTGTTAGGGAGTTTAATTTTGTGGGTAATGTGTATTTTGCCTTGTGCAGCCAAGAGTGTGCAAGCATTTTTTAGAAAGCCTCTAACTAGTTTCCTGTGAGACCTGTTAAAAGAAGCAGAAAAAGGCCATAAATGAATAGATGATTGATCACTAAAGAAATATTTATCACACATAAAATGTTCATACTCTATAGCACGTTCACTAGACTCAGAGCCTTTGTCAAATCCAGCATGTGGAAAATTATAAACAATATTGTCGAATTGTTTTCCTGCCAGGTTTGGATTTGAGCACATGGTTGTGGCATCCACTTCATGCCACACCTTAGCCCCAAGTTCTTGGATGAGAAGCATGTCAGGACCCTTCAAGAACTTGGGGCTAAGGTGTGGCATGAAGTGGATGACACAACCATGTGCTCAAATCCAAACCTGGCAGGAAAACAATTCGACAATATTGTTTGTAATTTTCCACATGCTGGATTGGACAAAGGCTATGAGTCTAGTGAACGTGCTATAGTGTATGAACATTTTATGTTTGTGATAAATATTTCTTTAGTGATCAATCATCTATTCATTTATGGCCTTTTTCTGTTTCTTTTAACAGGTCTCACACGAAAGTAGTTAGAGGCTTTCTAAAAAATGCTTGCACATCTGCACAAGGCAAAATACACATTGCCTACAAAACTAAATTCCCTTACAGCAGGTGGAGGATTGAAGAAATAGCTACAGAGGAAGGTCTGATTTTAACCGGTTGTGATGACTTCGACATTAAGTACTATCCCAGATACCAAAATAAAAGGGGTGACGGGGCAGATGCAGACAAAAGCTTCTGGATTGGAGAGAGTGCGCAAAATTCAAGTTTGGAAAGCAAGCTTAAACACCACCAGCACGTAAGCAGAGTGCATATATTTTTCTTAATGACAGTGAAAATTCTTCTTTCATGGTTTTAGATGATCCAAGTGACCTCTGTTTCGGGACCTGTGTTGGTTGGTACTGTGACGAAAAGTCTAAATGGCTAATGCCTTAAGACAACGACCCTTGAGTAACTGTCAAAGAGTGAAACATCGAAGGATGAAAGCCTACGATTAATGAAGATAATTTGGAAACGCTACCTTTGCATCTTGTGACTCATATCCTTGAAATACTCAAACTTGCTATGTTAACTACACCCTTGAAACATCTCGCTTGATCAATCTTGAAAAGATTGAATTCCATTCTTTGTATCAAAATACTAAAACCACGATTCTTCATGCTTTATGATACCGATCTTCAAAAACTATACTCTGTGAACTACGTGAGGAGTTCAGTGGTGTTGTCATTTTGGCGTGAAGTCGCCGGAACTAAGAGTAATCCTCATTGGAAGCTTCGCCAGAAAATTCTCAAAACCTCCGTTAAGCTTCGAGGTAAGTCTGTAGATATATCTAGTGACTAGAATGTTCATATAGATCTAGTCTACGTTCATAAACAGGCGTTTGGTTGAGTTTTGTGTTTGACATGCTTGAAAAACCAAGAATCATAAACAATGAAATTGTTGTTAAAACTATGAATTAATGATACCAAAATGATCTATGAACCTTGGAGAACATCTCTATATAGTTTAATTGAAGTTCGGTGACTAAAAATGGTTTTTCCAAAAAATTGACCAAAGGTTGAAGAAGATGAACAGTGGCTGAAAATCAACAGGGTGGATCGATGCACTCCATTGGATCGATCCCCCAAAATTGTGCTCCTAAAATCTTTCTGAAAATGTTATTTTTGATACCAATTGATTATGAATGATTATTATGATGATTATGATTTGATGAACCCATTGATTAAAATGATTATTAATGATTGAACCATGATTAAAATGAATACATTGATGATTATGAAATCATTTGTATTGTTAAGGATATCTAGAAGAACTCTAGGATATATTATTTGGAAATTAATGATGACTATTAAGGATATCTAGAAGAAGTCAAAGATATATCCATATTGATGTTGATTTCTAATACTATCTAGAAGATCTCTAAGATAGTTTAGAAATAGGCTTTGCGGGTATAACTATATATTCGGTGGCCTAGGTAAAAACGTATGTACGGGATCCACAAACCAAACTTGAGGATCACTCGTTTGGGGATACCACGTAAGTGTTCTTTCTCTGCGATGTAATGGGGAACGTGAGCAGATTGATCGATCAACGGAATGTTTTTTTTGTTGATTTTGTGGTATTGGGTTTGGCTTGCAGGAAAGTGACGATGAGAGATTTCAGCACCGCGATTCTGGAGAGGAAGAAGTCGCCTAATCGGCTGGTTGTGGATGAGGCGATCAGCGATGACAACTCCGCGGTGGCTCTTCACCCTAACACCATGGAGAAGCTCCGCGATACTATTATGATCAAGGATTTGGTTGTAGATCCATTCCAATTGTTGTAGATCAATTGTACTCCATGAATCCATTCCAATTGTTGTAGATTCAAGATTCCGGGTTTGGGAGCATTCAAAAAATAATCAGGATTTGGTTGGGTACTAGTGAATTCGGTGTGAAAATATTCGTTTTAGTGTGCAAAAGTTTAGGGTTTTTAGAAAAAAATTCATGGGGGTTTGGAATCTGATGGCAAGTTATATATACTCTCTCTCCATTCATATTTAGGTGATCATTATGACCTGTGTGATGCATAAAAAAGAATGCAGACATGATTTATCTTCATATTAATTCGGCTTTTAATGAATCACAAAAATTGATTATGGTCACAGAAGTTGTTTTAAACTTTTGAGAATCCTCACATAGGTTCTAGGACTCCTAGTGTCTGTTTAAAGAGTTGAGTCTTGCAACACATCTTCTTTGTTTCCTTTTAGTGTTAATTGTTCTTGCCCTTGGCAGAGAGGATCTCCGGTAGGAAACCCGGGTGGGGTTGCAGACAAGGTTTTGAATCGACTCCTCACTGAAATGGACAAAATGAATGCGAAGAAGACAGATTGAAATGGTAATGAATGCGCTTGCAAATATGCCATGGGAGAGGACTTTGAAAAGGTAATTGAGCCTCTAACTTCCTGAAGTTCGGTTTTAAGATGGTGCTTCTGATTTTCAACTTGTGTATTGGATAGAGTAAAAGTATAAAGGTAATACTTGACAATATTTTTGGTGCATGATTCTCAGTGTGAAATAACCGCTTGTGTTTCTATTCTTAAAATATAGTACTTTTTTGTAAAGTAATAGTACATCTTTTTTGCTGGGCTTTTTTTTTATTAAAAAAAGTTGCCTGTAGAGGAGCGTGGATTTCACCACTCTGTAGTTTCCGGCTACAATACTAATATGCACAAGTTGTCCTTGAAACCATCAAAGAAAGAATTAGCTGATTTCCAGCCTCGAGACTCCTCGTTCTTCAAAGGTTTAAGAGTAAACGAAAATGATCACGGGAAGCAAATGTCACACAAAGAAAATCCGTTCAGTTTAATTCTCCCCAGATATGTAAGTTTAGTTTGTGAAACCGAAATGCATTACGCGACTGAGAATCTTGAAAGCTCTTATGAATGGCTACAATCTGGAATGATTCTCTTGAAGAATTATGTCAGCATAAGTGAGCAGGTAGGGCATTATTTGCTTTCCACTCTGGTAAGTTAGCTAGTTTATATTAAACTGTGTGGCAAAATAACCCCATTGTGCATTTAATATTTTAGGTTGAAATAGTGAAGACGTGCGAAGCGCTTGGAGGTTTTTACCAGCCTGGTTACAGAAATGGAGGTAAACTCAAACTACACATGATGTGCCTCGGTAGAGCCTGGGACCCGCAAACGGGATACAACAAAATTGATGGTTCTAGGGCACTGCCCGCAATTCCTGATAAACTTACCTCACTGGTGAAAAGGGCACTTCAAGATTCTCAAGCCATTTTAGAATTGGAGGACAAACTTCCTTCGATGTCCCCAGATATATGTATAGTCAATTTCTATTCAACCGCAGGCGGACTTGGTCTTCATCAGGTTAGTTAGTTAGTTACTTAGTTTATCTAAGTGGACTAAAATGTCCTCACGCCGCGAAAGAATTTATAATCATTTGAAGAACTATACACAGGATCGTGATGAGAGCATTGAGAGTCTGAGGAGAGGGCTGCCTGTGGTTTCCATCTCCATTGGCGATGCAGCAGAGTTTTTATACGGGGATAAGAGGGACTTGAAGAAGGCAAAGAAAGTGGTGTTAAGATCAGGAGACGTGTTGATATTTGGCGGGAAGTCTAGGCTTGTTTTTCACGGGGTAAAGTCCATCATCCCGAGTTCGGCTCCTTTGGCATTGGTAAAAGAATGTATGCTGCGCCCAGGACGCCTTAACCTTACTGTCAGACAGTTTTGATGTTACTTTCAGAGCTAGATTGCCTTCTATAGTATGTCACATGTATTCTTTGCAAAAAAATATCACATGTATTTCTTTCATGAAAGTATAATTATAACTTATAACACACTAATTTGGAAAAATACTTCATTAAAAAAGGATTTTTTTTAGAGATTTTGTTCTAAATTTAGACACTGGAAAGTACCAAAATATTCTCAACTTGTCCTCATGTAACGACTATTTTTGACGGAAGACTATTGAGAGAATATATCTCAATTACTCTGTATAAACTAAATAAAATGTATAACTTACATATTTAAAAATTATAACAAAACTTTTTCAAAACAAGTAGTGACATATCTGTTATACATTTTATGAAATGACCAATAAAAATGCGCAAACAATCAAAACTCATTGGAAGTCTTAAATGGTACGGAGTTGCAAATAGGTGAAAAAAATATTGAAATGGAGAGAGTATTTTTATGGTGTTGATAAATCTATTTCTCCTTTTTGCTAAACCCACACCTTTTATTAAAAATGGATAAATTTATTCTTAAAGTGTAAAAATAAGGAAAGACAACATGTGGACTAAGGATAAAATTAGACATTTTTCGTAAATAGATGGATTTAGCAATACCCATGTTTTCTAAAGAAATGTTTTAGATTTTGTAATTTTCTTAAAGTTTATGTTGTGATGTACTCACTCCATCCCAAAAAGAATGTCACATTGCATCATTCAAAATCATTGAACTTTTTGTTTACTTATGTGTTTTCATTGATTATTTGATAAAATAATATTTTTTTTGTCACTTTTTATTTTATATAATTTTTAAATATGTAAATTTTGTTTATATACACATTTTTAAATAAATGAATTGAGAAAATTATAAATTTTATCTCGTTTTGCGTAATGTGGTAATCTTTTATGAATGAAGAGAGTAACAACCTATTTTTATTAGCCTCTCAAACAATCTACTCTGGTATTTTTATTAGAGAACCATATATCTAATCAATTGTACCCCTCTTCCAAATGAACGTAACTACATTATTTCATACCTGCTCAATCTAGTGTATTCGTTTAATTCAACTTTTTTAGTTAAAGTTGACAAATTTTGAACCTCATTTAAATAGTAAAGGATTATTAGATTTAACTTGTTTAGGAGTTCTAAAATTTTATTTTTTGTATTAATATACAATACAAAATAAGACTAATTGATAATTATAATTTGTCCAATTTCACTTAAAAAGTCAAAATAAACAAACGCATTGAGACAGAAAAAGTTTTAAAAATACTAGTCGATCATGCAAAGCAGAGAGGTGTGGCTCCAAGACACAAGTGAAATGGTATAGAGTATAGACCCCGTTTGGTAACATCATTAGATTTTAGTTTTAGCATTTTGAAAAATTTAACTAACGATAGTCTTTAGTGTAAATATTTTCAAATTTAATCTTCACCATTAAAATTTTTTCCCTAAAATACTAGCACTAATAAAAAACATTGTTTCCAAACAAAGTCATTTGAAAAATGACTTAAAATTTTAACCGCTCTACTTTTATTTAACAAACGGTAAAAATGAATAAAAGATAAATAGTACCCTGTATAACTTGACAATATTAATAATGAACAAAATTTATTTTAAGACAATTAAACTTTTTTTATTTTTGGAATAATAATCGATGCCCATGATTTTGCCACTCCGACCAACGCGCGCAGCTCCGTCACGGCGGACTCTAAACCCACATTACAACGCCACTCCCTAAAGCTCATTTCAATTCCGCAAAAAAATGACCTCTGCTGTTCCTCTCTCTCACTCACTCTCCACTCTACGCCCCAGCTCTTTTCTTGAGAATTAAGGTTAGCCTTTCTTTCCCATTTATGTCTTCTGCAAACACTTTGAGACTAGATTCCCATTGTTTCCCTAACTTTTATTTGGCTTAAAGTTTGCAAATTTTGATGCTTTATGTGTATTTTGAATTTCTCCCTCTTTTTTTTTGTTTTTTCAATCTGGGTAAGAAATGAATTCCAAGGGCGAAGATTGTGTAGCTTATCTTTTTGCATTGGCGCGTTTTCTGTTAACTATGTGCACTTCAGTTTTTTTTAAAGTACATAAATTGGTTTCAAGAATTGGCTCTGGTTGCACTCTTTTGGAATGCCAAGAATCTGGGATGAATCTTCTAAGAATTTCGTTAACTTGCAAGATTATGGGCAGTTTTGAATGTGCATGTTGTTAAAGATCAATGCTTTTTTTTGTGTAGGCTAAAAAGGGGGTGTTTCTGTTACTTGTTCGTCGTGCATTCCCGATAGAGAGGCTGAGGAAGAAAGGAATTGCAGTGAAATGAAAGGTAATTCAGAAACATGTTTTGTTGAAATTGCCAATTTTTTCTCAATTCCTTTTAATCTGCTTCTTTATAACTTAATTTGGATAAAGTTCCTATACTATGGAGCAACTGTTGTATGAGTTTCTGCACATAAAAGTTCGAGTGATTGTATTCAAGTATTCAACCCTGTCAAGCTTTCCCTAAGGCTAACTCTTTTTTATGTGGGATTCAACCCTTAGTTTACTTCTATAGATAGCAAATTAATGGTATGAATCTGAGACTTGCGGTTTTTAGAACTCTCACTCTGTCCGGATTTAGATATCCACTTTCCATTTTGAATAAACAAATCATGATGAATTGTCTAAAATATTCTAGATAAATGGTTTGAGCATGGTTGATATGAATGAATGGCTAATTGTCAAATTCATTTCAAGGACTCATTTGATTATCAAAATTCATTTCTTAAAAATGAGATTTTTTAATAAAGCGAGCAACAATTTCTGGAGAGGAGTGCACAATAGGGAAAAACTCTAATGCCACCTTATTGTGTAAGTCATCACCGTTGAAAAAGGGTCCACGAAAGGGTCTTACCTTGTGATGTAGGTAGAACTTACCTAATACTTTATACTTCTTTGCGGGATGATTCTTCTAGGGCTCAAACCTGTGACTTTAGTATCATACCTCACATGGAAACACCACAAACGGTGTGCCAAGATGAGCCTTCACATTTTAGGGAAATGCTATAAATTTCATCAACTATCGTCACATTGTAGAGAATGGAACAATTATTTTGATGTCAAGGTGTTTTGGAGACCCTTGTTACCTTGTATAGCCCCCAAATCACCGGTATCATAATATGACATTTGAGGCTTGGTGTCAAAATATCACATTGCGACTATAAGGTTCATCAATTAGGGAGAGGCCAAGGGGAGCCTTGTTTTTACATCTTGCAGCTTTTGCTTGCCTTAAATTTCATATATGTGATACAAAGAGAAAAAGATGAAAAACATAGACTTCAGTCACCGTTATCTATATGTCTCTAGGGTGAAATTTTAAAATTCTTTATATGGTGTGGACACTATTGACTTTCATGTCGATTAAGAACATAAAGTATTCAATGTGTGTTGTGCTCTTTTTTCTTCTTCTGGGTTGTTGTTAGCTTAGTTCTCTTAAAATTGTTCCATGATTTCTAATAGAAACCCAATTTATAATGTTAATAGGTGGGTCAGATCCCAGCATTTTATTAGAAATGGAGAGCAAGATGAATATGGAAGTAGGTCACCCTTCCTCCAAAGTTATTTCTTTTTAAAAGAGATGAGTTCATTTTGAATAATAATGCAGAACCCTCATGTGTGTGCACGCATGTGTGTGTGTAGAGGTTCACCTTCCCTTCTCTTTAAACAATACGAGTATGTAATGACTTTATACTTCTGGCACAACTCAAGAAATCTCTGCTTTTGTGTTCCGGAACACTCTATTTTTGTTATATGATTCTCATATCATTGTGTGTTGCCTTGAGTTAGGTTCTTGATATAGAGCCAATTCATGCTGAAGCTGAGATTTTTGAAGCACCAAATGATCCCTTTAATGCATGTGATGGTTTCCTTTTAGGTGAATTTTCTGTTTATTTGCTATCATTGATATGGTGATTC